ACTTAGCCTTAGCTAACCAATTAAAAAATACACATTTTGACCAATCACGGTTGAGTCTTCCATCTCGCTCCAACCGTGCCTTCTTGTTACGCGGCGCGCGTAGTTGAGTCCTCCATCTCGCTCCCTCGGTGCCTCCTTGTCACGCCGCGTGCGCGCGGAGTGGAACAATGCCGACGTTCGTTCGTTTCGTTCGTCGTTCGTTCTATTCGACGGCGGGCAGCGGCGCAGAGTGGACGTGTGCACCGAAGAACAAACCAGCCGACGCGTCGTGTGTCCAGTGTCCACGTGGCTACTTTCTGTTGATGTGATTTGTGATGCTGTTGGTTGCACCGAGAGACAACGCGTCGAGTTACGAGTATCGTGATTCGCGAGTGTTTTACTGTGGCGTGCTGTATCGTTTGGAAATTAAAAACGGCGTTTCATGTGCATGACGCCATTTTGTTTATGTGAAGAAGTGGATAACGTAAATATTGTTTAATTGTGTTTCGTGCTTCCGTGTAGTGTTTGGAACAAAACAGCTCTTCTAAAGGTTGTTTCTATCGTAGGTCTCTTGGCGGGGAGTGGAAGTGTGCATCGAAGGGCAAAGCGGCCAACGCGTCTTGTGTCCACGTGACTACATGCTAGTGATGTGATGGATGTGTTGTGAATTTGTGATGCTGTGTTGGTTACTTACTACACTGAGGGACAACGCGTCGAGTATCGTGATTCGCGAGTGATTTACTGTGCTGCGTTTCTTGTGAATGACGCCATCTTGTTTGTGCTTAGTGATTGTAATTGTACGTAAATCTTGTTTTTGTTTCGTGCTTCCGTTAAGTGTATAAAACAGCTCTTGTCAGTGCTACGTACTAGTTTCTGTCGAACGGCTCTTGTCAGAGCCACCTTCCTGTTTCTATCGAAAGGCTCATAGCGCGGAGTGGAAGTGTTCAGTTGTTCACCGAAGGGCAAAGCGGCCGACGCCGCGTCGTAGTGTAGCTGTTGATGCTGTGTTGGTTGCACCGAGAGACAACGCGTCGTGCATCGCCAGTGACTTGCTGTGACGCCATCTTGGAAATGATGGCAACAAAACGGCTCTTCTCAGAGCCACCATCCCGTTTCTAAAGAAGGGCTCTTGTCAGAGCCACCATCCTGTTTCTGTGAAAGGGCTCTTCTCAGAGCCACCATGACGAAGGGCTCTTGTCAGAGCCACTATCCTGTTTCTATGAAAAGGCTCTTCTCAGAGCCACCATGACGAAGGGCTCTTGTCAGAGCCACTATCCTGTTTCTATGAAAAGGCTCTTCTCAGAGCCACCATCCTGTTTCTATGAAAAGGCTCTTGTCAGAGCCACCATCCAGTTTCTGAAGAAGGGCTATTGTCAGAGCCACCATCCAGTTTCTGAAGAAGGGCTCTTGTCAGAGCCACCATCCTGAATCTGAAGAATGCCACTTGTCAGAGCCACCATCCTGAATCTGAAGAATGGCTCTTGTCAGAGCCACCATCCTGTTTCTGACGAAGGGCTCTTGTCAGAGCCACTATCCAGTTTCTATGAAAAGGCTCTTGTCAGAGCCACCATCCCATTTCTATGAAAGGGCTCTTGTCAGAGCCATCATCCTGTTTCTATGAAAAGGCTCTTGTCAGAGCCACCATCCAGTTTCTGAAGAAGGGCTCTTGTCAGAGCCACTATCCCGTTTCTATAGAAGGGCTCTTGTCAGAGCCACCATCCTGTTTCTGACGAAGGGCTCTTGTTAGAGCCACCATCCTGTTTCTATGAAAAGGCTCTTGTCAGAGCCACCATCCAGTTTCTGTAAAGNACACTGTATATTTCAAGACAAGGTAGTTATTTTTTTTTATTATATTGCTAATAAAATACAAATATTTTTTCAAAAATATTCTGCATATGTAGTATGCGTAATATGGATAACCTTGAAGTGTCATACGGATCATCTTACGTGAAAAAGACTATAGGGCGGTACAAATTGTATGAAGCTGTTCACATTATCCCGGATCCGGCATTTTCGCCGAGTCCGGCATTTTTACCTAGCGTTTTGTCGCTACAAAAATCCGGCAAAATCACCGGACCGGAGTAAGGGGTCATCCATAAAGTATGTCACACGTAAAGAGGGGGGGAGGGGGTTGACAAAGTGTGACATGGTGTGACAAGGGGTGGGAGGGGTCCTAAGTTTCGTGACATCACATTTCAATTGTTTCAAATATTTGATATAATGTTGATTTCATATAAAAAAATACTTAATTTAAATATAAATAAAACTAATTTCGGAACTGCTGTTAATTTAATAATTTTTCGATGTGAAATTGCAAAACATATGACGTCACAGTAGGGAGGGAGGGGTCTCAGAAATGTGACCACCTGTGACAAGGACGGAGGGGGGGTCAAAAAATCATGAAATTCGTGTGACGTACTTTTTGGATGGCCCCTAATGTGAACGAGTCGCGGCCCACCCCGCCGCGCCCGTGCTCCCCACACTTCACTCGGCTCGGATTTCGGATCCGGTGATCCGGTGTAATGTGAACACCCCTGTCCGGTGTCCGGTTTCCGGCAGAAATGCCGGTCCGGCATAGTGGGAACCCGGCCTTAGGGTGAATCCTTATGTGTAAAATGCTCATAGTGTGTGCTCATAATTATTTTTAGTAAATGCACACTATTAAATAAAATAGTACGTATTATTTTATCTGATATAACAACTACTTTGACACTACGTATGAGCGTATCTGGGAATCGAACCCAAAATAATTTTGATATTTTTAAAGTTTTGACGATTTGTAATTATAATCAACTAGCTTTACGCCCGCGGCGTCGCCCGCGTGGAATTTTGTCTGTCACAGAAAAACTTAATCGCGCGCTTAACTAAATAATAATCTAAACTTAATAGTTTTTATCCCTGTTTTAAAAACCGGGATAAAAACTATCCTATATACTTTCCTGGGACTCAAACTATCTCTATGCCAAATTTCATCAAAATCGGCTTAGGCGTGAAAGCAAGACAGACAGAGTTACTTTCGCATTTATAATATTAATAGGTAGTATAGATTTATTAGTCTGAACAAATACTACCTGATTTAAGATTTTTCTAAGATGATAAAAATAGGGATGTAAAAAATACAAAATTATAATGAACAATTTTTTTATTCAATGATAAGTCTTGTAAATACCATTTTGTGAAATAATCACGCTACATTACGATACATTAACGATGTAATATGTAATATATACCAACATTCAGACTGCGAACATTGGTAAAGATACTAAACTCACTCAATACGGGACTATTCCCACCTCTCGTTCTCATCGCTGCAACTCCTGTGTGGCCAGGATCTACAGCTTGACCGTGAATAAGTGAAGGTCAAGTTTGTCCCGGGGGAAAGTTTAACTGTCATTGGACCCGCAACGAAATTAATCAGAAGAACATAGGAGTACGAAGTTAATGTTCGACTTCCCTCCAGGGCAAAACAAACACAGAAATACTGTTAGTTTGAGCTAGCCAGTTGGCGCCAATAGCGGGTAAGATCCAGACGCCATTGGCGCCAATTGATGTTTCCAATATGCGCCAACTTGGCGCCTCACACATCTTTGTAGATTAGGTTCAAAATCACTTATGTTCCAAGGAAAGTCCTTCGAAAATAAAAAAACCCATTCTTTCAAGATGATGGGGATATTATGAGTTAGTATCTTTACCAATATTCTAAAGACAAACATACTATAAGATCATATTATTCATACACCTAGCGTAGGTTGGATGAAGTCATCATTTCGATCGTTTTAGTCATAAATACTAATTTCAGATATTTTTTTACCAAATTATCATCTGTTTAAAACAATTTTGAATAATTTTATTATTAGATATTATGGAGACAAAAATGTTGGCCTGAAAGCAATTCTTTGGTACGTTACTTTTAAATTCTAACCCCCTTACTAATAAAAAGTTAGTAAAGTTACACAGTTGTTGAACACTGTTTTAAAATGACATTTCCATACTAAACGTCACTTTAAAACACTGTTCAACGAGCGTGTACGTTTTATTAATAAGGGGGTAAATCTCGAAACATTAATTATATTGTTTTACAATAATTTGACGACCACCCAACCCACGCGCGGCTTCATCACATACATGCGATTAGTCGCATCACTGTTTTCCGACATTAAAAACGCAAAATAATCGAATACAGCTCTAAAGTCGGGCGCTCTGTAAAAATAGCTCGATTACTATAACATAAGTTTATTTCGAGTGAGGCAGAAAGTACTTCCAAACTTTACAACATAAAACGCCGTCTTATCGTATATGCGCTTTCTATAGTCCGGTCCCTGAGCACGTAGAATTTTGTTCAATGACCCCAAGCTACCCATCCTTATCGCTCGCCCGTAATTATATTGCTGTTGCGCTCGCACACTCACTGCTGCCGCCCGTCGCACAGTCGCGACAGAAATATAATTACGCGGAAGCTTGGGGTCATTGGACAAAATTCTACGTGCTCCGCGACCACACTTTAGTTGGCGCCAAATCAGTGATGATGTCAAAACATTTTTATGTAAGCCTTTTGTCATTTCCATAATCTCGTTTTAAACACATAAGAATCAAACTATTTTTACAGAGTCGCCCCAGTTTTGCTTACAACATGAACATTGAACACGTTTTTATTTATTTCAAACATTCTATTGTTACTATGTGATATAGTCTATCCAATATAGCTTGATTAGAATGACAGCTGCCATCAAAAGTAACGACATAACTTTGTAGTAGCGATCAATGAGAGCTAAATATTGGCGGACAAGAAATAATTCACGTCTGACCTACAAACAATATTTTCAACGACAGTGCTTCCAATAAAAATGATAATTTCGTGTAAATGCAGCGTTAAATTACACCAATAAGTAGTAATTCGAAATTATAAAAATCAAGCTAGAGCATTAACGACGTCTCTACAAGGTTATCTCGAGTTACAAAAATGTTAGTGTTGGGACATATCGACAAATGTCATATTAAATTAAAACTATAGAAGGGCTCTTGTCAGAGCCACCATCCTGTTTCTGACGAAGGGCTCTTGTTAGAGCCACCATCCTGTTTCTATGAAAAGGCTCTTGTCAGAGCCACCATCCAGTTTCTGTAAAGGGCTCTTGTCAGAGCCACCATCCTGTTTCTATGAAAAGGCTCTTCTCAGAGCCACCATCCTGTTTCTATCAAAAGGCAGAGTGGAAGCGTTCACCGAAGGGCAAAGCGGCCGACGCCGCATCGTGTCCATTTAGCTTACCGTGCGTGGAGTAGCTGGTGATGCTGTGTTGGTTGCACCGAGAGACAACGCGTCGTGCATCGCCAGTGACTTGCTGTGCTGTGTCATCGAATGGAACGGCGTTTCTTGTGAATGACGCCATATTGTTTGCGATTCTGTGAAGTGATTGCAAAAAAACGGCACTTCTCAGAGCCACCATCCTGTTTCTGTGGAAGGGCTCTTGTCAGAGCCACCATCCTGTTTCTATGAAAAGGCTCTTTTCAGAGCCGCCATCTTGTTTCTGAAGAAGGGCTCTTGTCAGAGCCACCATCCTGTTTCTATCAAAAGGCAGTGGAAGCGTTCACCGAAGGGCAAAGCGGCCGACGCCGCGTCGTGGTGTAGCTGGTGATGCTGTGTTGGTTGCACCGAGAGACAACGCGTCGTGCATCGCCAGTGACTTGCTGTGCTGCGTCATCGATTGGAACGGCGTTTCTTGTGAATGACGCCATATTGTTTGCAATTCTGTGAAGTGATTGCAAAAAAAACGGCTCTTCTCAGAGCCACTATCCTAATTCTGTGGTGGGCTCTTGTCAGAGCCACCATCCCGTTTCTGACGAAGGGCTCTTGTCAGAGCCACTATCCTCTTTTTTGTTTCTTTCGAAAGTACGATTTGTGGAAAAAAAAGTTAAGTTTTCTCTGTTTCACACATAGGATACCACATTTTTTTGCTGACCAATTTTTACATATAGTTTCCAGTAAAAATATTTTATAGCAATTTAGTTTTAACGAGACCCCAATTAGCTTGTCACATCGTTAACAGCTCAGTCGGACCTGAGAACTTGGCAGATTACTACAAATGGAAAATAAAATAAAATTGCTGGGGACATGTTTTGTAAGTTTATTGACCGCGTGAAATTTAGCTTGTCACAGATCGTTAAAAATTATATTAGTCATTTTGACGTTCATGTAAAGTTTTATCAAAATCCGTTAGGTAGTTTTTGCGTAAGAGTAACAAATCTAAACAAACTTTCGAATTTATATTAGTGGGGACGTCCACCTACGAGCTACAGGTTGCAGGAAGGCGCTGGATGCAGGCCGATGTCAGACAAACAATCTAGAAATCATTGGGGGAGGCCTATGTTCAGCACTGGCTGAAATGATGATGGACACTTTCGATCGCAGCTAAAATAAGGTTTTCGGAACTCGTGGTGTGTAATTCCGCTCTAGTAGTACCTACCTATTCCTATTGTTTATGTAGGCATCGTATGTAGGTCGGGTAAGTACCTACCTACTTAAATTCTGTGGTTAATTTAAATTGTCTACTTTTAGATTCTGTTATCAAAATCTTTGGCAACAGCCAACAGTGATGTATCATCGTTTCAATTGGTAAGTGTTGTGCTGTGTGTTGTGCTACACTTAAATAATAATAATTGCAATCATACACTTAAGTAAGTAGGTTTTCCTACACTAAAATAATTGCAATCAAAATACACTTAAGTAGGTACATAAGGTTAGTAAGTTATTCTGTAACTGTAAGTACTAAGGTAAAAACGCAATTTATAGTAAGTAAATCACTCATCAATCATTGGGTCAAACCCAAGTTTATTACTTGGGTTTGACCCAGACCGTCCCATTCGCATTTCGTTACGAATTAAAAAATGGGACCCGAATGCGAATGGGACCGTTTTTTAATTCCTGACGAAATACGAATGGGATGATCTGCGTCAAAGACACGCAGTTGTATGTATTACAAAAGTTAATTTTACTGTGCCTACTTACTTTTTATTACCTTATCTTTCTAGCTTGCCAGATTGTCATTTCCAACGGTGGAAACTGTAAGTAAAATACTTTTGACTTGTAAGTATAACGATTTATTACCAAGTTAATGGACTAAGGCTGAGTAAGGCACCACCTACACCTAACTTTAACCGTAACTCTAACGAACCGGTGCATTAGGCTGGGTTGCCTTAACTTTAACAACGTTAACAATCTGTCAAACAGAAACTCCATAAAAATACACCGGTTATAGTTTTAAAATAAGGTGGTGCAACTTAGCCTTATTTAGGTACTTGTCTATTGTTTAAGATTACTGATCAATATTTGTTTGAGAATAAGATTTTTCTGCAAAAAAGTTAAGTGGGTTAGGTACTTATTTAATCTCATGTTGTAATATGGACTGCAATTTTAACTTTACGCTGAAGGTTAGCTTCATCTTCGTATTTTGAATGACTAAATAGGGTTCGCAGAAGCTATAGATTCAATAATACTGTCACAGAAACCGTACAACATGCCGAGTTCGAAGGAAATAGATCCAAAAAAGAGTTATGCCGACGAGAAGTTTGAAAAGCTCCAAGAATACTACAGCTACATGAACGGACGGATCAAGGAGCCACATAACCCGGTAAGAAGAAAAAGAAAATTGTAAAAACTAGTTACTTATTTGTACTATGGGCCTCATAAGAAGGCTCAAGGTTACCCAAAGGGCGATGGAGCGGGCCATGCTTGGAGTTACCCTGCGTGATCGAATCAGAAATGAGGAGATCCGCAGGAGAACCAAAGTGACTGACATAGTCCGCAGAATCGCTNCGATGGCCGTTGGGGCAGAAAAGTTCTCGAGTGGCGACCACGGTCTGGAAGACGTAGCGTGGGCAGGCCTCCTACTAGGTGGACCGACGATCTCGTAAAGGTCGCGGGAAGAGCCTGGATGCGGGCAGCGCAGGACCGTGCATTGTGGAAAACCTTGGAGGAGGCCTTTGTCCAGCAGTGGACGTCATTTGGCTGAAACGAACGAACGAACGACGAACGAGTATCGCTGAAACGGCACATACTCAACATGTGTCGAGGTGCCAAAAAAACTGCTGGTCTGTCTCCACTACAGGAATATTACTAAAACTAGCGACGGTAGTCGGACTGACCGGCTCGAGAACGCGCTGCGGGTTCGAACCCCGCCACCGCTCGACTATGTGGTGACCCATTCGTAAACATAAATGCAATACAAATTAGTAATATTCTTTAAAAAAATCCACCGATACAATCCTCATTTGGATCTAACCTACCCATATGCTACAGCGACTGGTTCAGGGTATCTGGAGACTCCCTAGACATATTATTCTATTATTAGGTCACCGATTTACAAAATCTACACACTTCACGTCTTCCACTCCGACTACAAAGACCAGTCCACTGTCGAACGGGTTCTTCTTCATCTTATCAAGTTCTGCCAGGGATGTGAAGCTGGATTGTACAATATCAGAAACAGATGATAGCTTAGCCGGTTAATTTTTCCCGCAAAGCGTGTTGCTTTGAACTATTACAATTTTGCTTAATGATACCTATTGTTTTGCAACAGACCGAGCGTAAGGAGATTCTAGAAAGTGCCGAGAAAAAACTCTTCGCGTTCATAGACGCGCACATTAAAGACTTGAAGCGACTGCTGTTTGCGACCGACATGGCTCTCATGTCCATGGTCTTGCTGAAGTTGAACAAGAAAATGGACACGTCTGAAGCGAAGATCCGGTCTACGCAGGCCAAGATACCGTTCGGGTTGTACACGAGTCCAGGTAAGTGTAAGAATTAGCACTTCAGTTCAGCAGACCCCCGTACCCCTGATGATACCCCTGGTGGTAAGGACCCCCTTTTAAAGAAGATCCACCATATTATAACCATAAGTACCGTAAGCTCAGGGTGGATCTGTGTTAAACTTTGAAAGAACCCACTGTAACACCAGGGATGACCAGGGGTATCGTCAGGGGCTCAGGGCTACGGTGTGTGGGTCTAGTCAAATTAAGTGTAGCCCGCATAATGTATGATACTTTGACCTGGCCGCAGACCTGTGCTAGCCTTAAAACAAAGAGACTTCTGTATCTTATTCTTCTTGCTGCAGAGTTCAAATGCCTGGGGACGTCTTACTACATCGCGTCAGCTCACAACCAGGAGGACGCCCAGATGATCCTTTCCAGTGAGAGGAAGCCGCACTGCTACACTTTCAGGGGTGAGTAAATGATTAAAATGTTTAATTTAATGGCCAAGGGCAATCAGCTTTTTTATGCAGCCCCCCACGCACAGATACTTAAGAAGATAAGAACAAAAGATTTAAAGTAAGTGAAGTCTATGAAGGGCCCACAATTTCCAGACTTCGTCCGTTTCAGCCAAATGACATCCACTGCTACTCAAAGGCCTCCCCCAAGGCTTTCCATAATGAATGATCCTGCGCTGCCCGCTCGAGGTTTTTCCCGCGACCTTTACCAGATCGTCGGTCCACCTAGTAGGCCTGCCCACGCTACGACTTCCAGGCCGTGGTCGCCAATCGAGAACTTGTCTGCCCCAACGGCCCATCGTCTGTAAGAGCTATGTATGTGCCCCGCCAACTACCACTTGATTTAGCATGTCGGTCACTTTGGTTCTCCTGCGGATCTCTTCATCCACAACAGTCCCCTCCATTGCGTTCTGTTTTGAGCTTCGCATTTGATCTCGCTCCAAGTCTTGCCGATTCTCTTCTATCTTAAATAGTAAGACACGGGTCTCAACGCGACGTTTATCAATGAGTTACATTATAACTCACGGCTTGACCTTTCGGCTGCTAGGCTGCAGCCGTGGTCAAAGCAGACTGTCGATGGCGATGCCGATTATCTTGAGGATGGCGGTCAATATTTTACAAAGATTTCCATAGTAAAAACCAACCGTCTTTACACTAAAGCTTTCTCTGACTAACCAGGTGCGTTCTCCTTCATCGGTTTCTACCACCGGCATTCGGAGACCACGTACGTGGGGCCACACGCCGAGCAGTTCCAGGCCAAGGACCCGAGCCAGGGTCTGTATTGCCACTCCGATGACAACTGGAGTGACGCACAGTGCATCTACAAGTGAGTGTCAATGATGTCTCATCATCATCATCATCATTACAGCCATAGGACGTCCACTGCTGAACATAGGCCTCCCCCAATGCACAAGAATACACGTAGTTCATGCACCATGAAAAATGGTGCACACTAAAAACCAGCGTCGTGGCCTTCCTCACCGGGCGCCACGGCATATGCTGAGTGGTGGCACTGCTGAGTTTACTTTCTTTTCGCTTTTTTTTTATTTACATCTTTTGTCTTATGTCCATGGCAATAAATGTTTCTTTCTTTCTTTCTTTCCAATGATTACCAATGGAAATTACTGGTTGGTGGCGGCCTGCATCCAGCGCCTTCCTTTATAGTCGTCGGTCCTTGTGAGTGGACGTCCCACGCTGCGTTTTCCGGTACGCGGCCTCCACTCCAGAACCTTGCTGCCCCATATCGGCCGTCAGTTCCGCGTACTATGTGCCCTTCCTGATTTAAAAAGCACTTTTACACGTCCCAGTATTAACCCTACCACTGCTTCAGGACAATAAATGGGCCAGTGCTGAGAAGAAGCAGCGCAAGAAACTCAGTCACATTTTTTTTAGTTAGTAAAAGTTTTTTTTTATGAAACTAGCCTATGAAATTAATCCAAATTCTCCACAGGATCAATCCCCGCGAAGAGTTCCCTGAATCAGTCGAATACGAGCCGAAGGTGTCGTACATTTGCGGCCCATACCGCTACTTCATCCCGGCCACGACAGATGTTCGCTGCATATTCTCCATCTTCTCCATGAACTTCATCTTCCGATTCGGATACGACGGCGTCACGTATAAGAACTCGGACTTGTCGTTCGTGAGTATCTACCTACCTACCTAACTATTAATGGGGCGTCCATTAATTACGTGAGAGAATTTTGGCAATTTTTCAACCCCCCCGCCCCCCTTGGTGCGATTTGGTGAGATATTTCCAGACCCCCTCGCCCTCCCCACAATCTCACGTGAGATTTCTTAAAATACATGTTTGCAATGTAAAATAAAAATGGGTATGTAATAATTTCTATGTTTCGATTAGGATTTAATATTAAAAAAACTGTTTCTTCTAATTTCCATTCCATATTGTTTAGACGGTTTACAATTAAAAATTGAATAATTTTAATAACATTATCATCATAAAAATATTTTTTATTTATTTAAAATAACCCAGTTTATACGCAATTTGACCCTTTTTCTTGCTGAAAAAAATTACGTGATATTTGTCAAGACCCCCCCCCCCCTCTCCCCTACGTGAGATTGAGTAAGGTTTTTCTTGACCCCCTCCCCTAAACGTAATTAATGGACGCCCCCTAAAGTAGCACCTACCTACTTACCTAATTTAAACGGGGTTTGACGCAGACCGTCCCATTCGCATTTCGTCACGAATTAAAAAACTATCCCATTCGCAAAATGGTCACACTTTTTCCAAAATTACAAGTTGAACTAATATTTCAAAAATGGTAGGCATTGACTGTGTGACCATGCGAATGGGACTGAATGCGAAAGGGACTATTTTTTAATTCGTGACGAAATGCGAATGGGATGGTCTGTGTCAAACAAACCCATTGAGCGCGCATCGTGTGTCATTAGTGTCAAGCGGCTAGGTTATCACGAATCTTAGGAACTGGTTGCTATTTTGTAAATAGCAATGCGACTGCTACTAATGTATGGGAACCAGCGCCACATTATACGTACAATTATAGAAACCGGTTGATAAGATCTGTAATAAGTATGCAGGTTGTCGTGTGAACACCTCGCTGACCCGATGGCGTCTGAAACTCGTTTCGCACGATCCGTGAAAAAATTATAGATCAAACTAAAAACCCTAATAAGTAGGTACTCTTGTTCAAACGTAACTGACGTACGAAAGTGGGTTTTGACGCAGAACGTCATTTTCGCAAAATGTCCTCGCGAAAAATTTGGTCACTTCGCAAAATATCACTTTTGCAAAGTCACTTTCGCAGAATGTCACTTTTGCAAAAGGTCACTTTCGCAGAATGTCATCCCTAAATCTTGACGTACATTTTGTTTCCAGATGTACCAGAACGGCCAGGTGTTCTACACGGACGAGCCGTGGGCCGGCATGTCGTGCTGGAACTGGGCTTGCAAGTGGCGCCACAACCAGAATATGCGCTCCAACGAATTCTTCGTGCAATAAAATCTATACTAACATAAAGCTAGAGTTTGTTTGTTTGAACGCGGGAACTACTAGCCTAGATAGCCCATATATCGAGGAAGACTATAGGCTAAATATCATCACGCTAAGACCACCACACGCGGTTTTGACGCAGAACGTCATATTCGCAAAATGACATCGCGAATTTGGTCTCTTTCTCAAAAAGTCACTTTCGCAGAATGATTTGATTACTGTTAAAAAATATTCGTCGTTCGAGCGTTCGTTCAATTCGTACGACGAATATTTATTTAAGTAATTAAATTATTCTGCGGAAGTGATTTTTTGAGAAAGTGAGGGCCTTATAAGGTCGGCCAAAATGGAGTCGGAGTCTAGCTCCTCGCCGGGGATGATCAGATAGGGATATGATCATCTCCGGCGAGGAGTTAGACTGGGAGAATGGGTCGTTTCAGCTCGGAATGACAACTTCTCAAAATGACAAACGGGGCGCAAAATGTCCACTTCTCGAAATGACAACTTCTTAAAATGTCAACTTCGCTAAAAGACAACTTCTCATAATGCCTATTTCTCACAATAACAAATTCGCATTTGGTCTACTTCGCATAATGTCAACTACTTGTTGATATTTTATTTTCATTATTTCTAGTTCTAGTTCTTCTAGAGTTGTCATTATGTGAAGTTGACCAAATGCGAATTTGTCATTGTGAGAAATAGACATTATGAGAAGTTGTCTTTTAGCGATATTGACATTTTAACAAGTTGTCATTTCGAGAAGTGGACATTTTGCGCCCCGGTTGTCATTTTAAGAAGTTGTCATTCCGAGCTGAAACGAAAATGGGTTTTGTAAACTTTTGTGCTCTATGACATTACAGTGTCATTAAGTGAGCGGGGTGGTTGCCGGGCGGAGTCGGTATCGCTCTGCGCATAATCAGGGCATGTAGGAGAGGCAGGCCCCTCGTAAACGGAACAGGCTTAAGACTTGGCCTAATTTGGGCCTGGAATCCAGAGGAGGGAGGGAGGAATTTTAGGCGTTCCTCCGCGTCCATGACATTAGTTGGACGCGTGAATTTACATCGGTTAGCAAGTTGAAACCACCGAGTGCAAGTCCCGCTTTATCATGGTCAGCATAGCTGGGCACCGTTAATCAAATAGTTAACTTCGTTAATCGTTAAACCGTTAATAAAAAAATTAACTTCGTTAAACGTTAAAACGTTACATTTAGCAAGATTTAACGCAAGTTAACGTTAATCGTTAATCCGTTAACACACGATAATAAAACGAAAAAACCGGCCAAGTGCGTGTCGGACTCACGCACAAAGGGTTCCGTACCATTGATTTATGAAATTATTATTTTTTTTAATTTAAGTTATTTGTATGAAAGATTACGCGGTAATAAGCGGTTTACGATTTACGAGGTATTAAAAAAAAACTACTTACTAGATCTCGTTCAAAACAATTTTCGTTGGTAGTTTTTATAGTATTAATGGGTCGTTCAACCGGCCAAGAAATCACGTGTCCGTGGCCAAAAAGTACCCGAATATCATAATATTTTAGTAACAAATATTATTATCTAATAGTATAACTTTGGTTCTTGTTGTTAAACCACAGAGATAGTTAATAATAGTTAATTAAGTAATTAAAAAAAATCGTAAGTCGTCAAAAATTCTACTAGGTGGACCGACGATCTGGTAAAGGTCGCGGGAAGAGCCTGGATGCGGGCAGCGCAGGACCGTTGGACGTCATTTGGCTGAAACGAACGAACGAACATCAAAAATTGATTACCACGACGTGTCCGCGCTCCGGATTTCAGAACAAATTTGCTCGTATAAATTAATCCGTTATTATTACCGCTTTCAAAGCTTATGTAATCGATTACTGATTAAATAGACATTGATAAAATATATACGGTATAAAAATATCACTAAAAGGTTTTGTAAAATAATTATTTGAAGTTGTGTCCGAGCGTTAACCGTGATTACCCCGACACGTCGCTAATGTGCGCCTACGTCCCTTGCAACGCAATTTAGAAACGAGCTCTATCCTCCCCCGTGAACCTTTAGTGGTGGCCTGCGTGCCGAGGTGACCGGTAATGCAACTCGTCGCAGAATTTCGGNGATATGTTATTCTGGGTTATAAACAAAAATACTGCAGTTTCATCAAAATCCGTTCAGTAGTTTTTGCGTGAAAGAGTAACAAACATCCAGACATCCACACAAACTTTCGCATTTATAATATTAGTAGGATATCGTGTTGTTGAATTTAAGACCTTTTTTTACATAATTTAAATAATTCTCTGATCTACTGAGATAATGGTAACCTGCTTCAGGGCAAGATTCTTGTTTTAAAAGGATGCCAACGATTTCAATTACATCCTGTAATATGAATTTGAAAATTTGTACTTAAGTATGTTCTTTTTCATGGAAAACCGAACGGATTTTTGTGAAACTACAGTATTATTGTTATCTGAACAATATAAAGGCTATAATTTATAACGATCTGTGACAAACTGAATTTCTCGCGGGCGAAAGCTAGTAAAGAAATAAAACCACAATAAAATGTTCAACTTTTTTACTAACATGTTCATAGATTTACAGCAGTTTAACAACTATACTATACACGATTACACAAAATGCATTGTAAGGTTTATTGCATTGCACAAACATTAAAACATTACTTTGTATATAAAATCTAGGACCAGCGTAACATCAAAAGAAATCACGATTTTCTATCCAGTCAGGTTGACTCCTCGCAGTCGGCCGATAGTAAAATCAGCTTTTTTACGGGACTATTCCCACCTCTCGTTCCCACCGCTGCAACTCCTAATCCTGTGTAGCCAGGATCTACAGCTTGACCGCCAATAAAAACCCAACCTGTGAAGGTCAAGTTTGTCCCGGGGAAAAGTTAAACTGTCATTGGACCCGCAACGAAATTAATCAGAAGAACCTAGGAGTTCGAAGTTAAGGTTCGACTGCTCTCCTTTGCAAAGCGGATGACTGGAGACAAAACAAAGGTTATGTAACCTTTAAGAAAAGATATGCACCACGGGCAGTAACTGCCGATTATGGGGGCCTATCTTGTGAGCTATTAGCTAAAAGCCCGGTCTGTGAGCACGTAGAATTTTGTCCAATGACCCCAAGCTACCCATCCTTATCGCTCGCGTGTAATTATATTGCTGTCGCGACTGTGCGACGGGCGCCCGCAGTGAGTGTGCTAGCGCGACACCAACATAATTACGCGCTAGCGATAAGGATGGGTAGCTTGGGGTCATTGGTCAAAATTCTACGTGCTCGCAGACCAGACTAGAGAATAATATTTTTCACAAAATTGTATTTTTTTTAAAAGCACGGCTAATTTTCCTTGTCGCGACAAGCTTGGCTTCCATTTGTATGAGCAATCGACATCGGCCGATACCAAATCGGTATGTGCGCACTTCCATACATGTCCATACTGTTTAACAGCCCGACCCAACTATCGGCCGACTAAAAGTCCATAGTCGGGGAGTCTAAATATTTCAAATAATTATAGTTACTGACTTGAATCTAAAATCCGAATTTCAAACTGGGGTAGCATCATGGGTACCTACTTAATATCTAATTAATTAAATACATTAAAATACACCTTTTTAAAACAAATATGGCAAGTATTTAAAAAAATACAAATAGGTACATTTCTGGAGAAAATTTTTAGTCATTATTTTTTTTAATTGACACAGATAGATCGTTTCATCCACTCGGACGCGCCCCACCACTTTTTGGTCTCGGTCGCGCGGGGTGCGAGAAGTTTGATCCGAGCAATCCGAGCGGCATTATTGTAGTGTTCGTGTGCACTCATGGATGACTTAGCGTGTACCGATAACACTCAAACATTAGCGGAAGAATGGTGGGGCGCGTCTTTGTGGATGAAACGATCTTTATAAAGTTATGCTAGCGAGTTAACCTCGCAAGTTCCACAACTATTTTTTGAACTAGAAAATCTTTAAGTTTCAAAATCAATTGATTTATAATAATTGACATTATTAATACAATATTAACTAAATCTTAACAGAGCATTTTCAACCTTACCACCTTATGTTAAAGTCTGCGTACTCATGATACACCCCAGTGCATTTTAACTACCCCTAACTTGTCATAGGACTTGACTATACCACACTATCTACAAAACTTACGTCTATAATAAAAGTATATTACAAAAAATAAAATAACGACCTTTGTATTACTATTTCATTATTTGGTTGCGCGAAATACACTGCAGTGCAAAGAAATCGTGTATATAATAATCGCATAAGTCAGTTAGTGCCTGAGGTATGGGAGCGGCATGGAAGGGGATTGACATTTATGACGTGACAGAGCAAACACATCTGAAGTCTCGCTGACACCGCCTTTTAACCGCCTCTGTGGTCTAGTGGTAACTGGTAAGACCACCTGCTTCAGACGCAGAGGTCCCGGGTTCGATTCCCAGTGGGGGCAGATTTTTCTTTTCGGTTTGGTTGGTGGTAGGGCTTGTTCCAAGTCCGCCTGGCTAGCTACCACCATCTTACCTAAGTCTGTCGCCATAACAACAACGTTAACAGCATTGTTGTGTTCCGGCAGTTAGAGGTAAGATAGCCAGTTCCTCCGTTGTGAAGCTCGCTTCCACCTTCGGCCTGATCGTCACTTACCATCAGGTGAGATACAGGCCAAGAGCTTTCTCGATGTGGATAAAAAAATCATTTTACATCAACAAAAACACATTCCCGTCTCGTTCCCATACCTCAAGCACTGACTGAGATATGCGCTATACTTATAGTCAGTTACGCTACGCGTTTGCACTTCATAATACATAAGTATTTTCTGCTGCTATTGATTCAACACAATGTCTATCGTACATATTTCGGATGCACGATTTTTCTTGCAACGCAGTGTATATTGTAAAATGGTACTGCAATATTACAATAGTTAGTGTGCGTTATTTCGGTCATAAATACATCACAAAATGCTTCACATATAATTAAATAACGTACTAAAGTCCGGTCGCCGAGCAGATAGAATTTCGTCCAATGACCCCAAGCTACCCATCCTTATCACTCGCACGTAACTATATTGCTGTCGCGACTGGCGGCCGCAGTGAGCGTACGAGCGCGACAGCAATTACACGCGAGCGATAGGGATGGGTAGCTTGGGGTCATTGGACTATATTGTATCTGCTCGGCGACCGGACTTTACAATAAATGACATAGTTATTTTGTTAGTTCATATTTGGTAATAATAATAGTTGTCCAACACTGAACCGTCCCAGCTATGACATTAACAGGAGGGCGCTACTATCAATATAGTCCCACGATTCTGAAACGTCAATTGGCAAGGTCATAGCACACTTATCAACCTGGAAAGGGATCAACACCTTATTGCCGGGCTGTCAACCGCGAGGCGAGGCGTTTACGTTACGGTGCGGACGGAGTTTCATACAAAGAATACTGACCGCCTCGAGTTGATACGATTACGACCCGTTTCCGGGTTGATAAGTGTGCTTCGTCCTTTATACGCCCTCGTGACTGTAAATGCAAGTTATATGTGCGCGATGATTCTTTGTTAAAAATATAAAAATACTTAAAGAAATATAGGATTTATAGGTTATTTAATAATACGTATTATATGGTCTAAATAGACCATTTTAGCTACAAATATATTATGAAGTTTTTAGTCCACGCTAAAGACTTAAATATTAATTTTCAGTATTTTAAAATATTTATTTATATAGTTCGGTCCCTGAGCACGTAGAATTTTGTCCAATGACCCCAAGCTACCCATCCTTATCGCTCGCGTGTAATTATATTGCTGTTGCGCTCGCACACTGCTGCCTCCCGTCGCACAGTCGCGATAAGGATAGGTAGCTTGGGGTCATTGGACAAAATTCTACGTGCTCCGCGACCAGACTTTAGTAGAAATCAAAATATAAAAAGTATTACATTTAAAGGACAACATTTTGATTACTTATTTTATTTATAAGTAATCAACTACAACATGTAATCAAAGTTTTGTATTATGTAATTAAAATTATTTACACTTTGTAATCATTTTTGAGGTAAGATGTGCGTCTCAGTTCGGTTTCTTATTTTATTGCACAATAAATTATTTGTTCTATTTGTATTTTCTTCAATTTACATAGTTAACTTTGCATAAAAAATCGGAGCCGCAATAATGGGACTTATATCAAACTCCTATGGTTTATTTTAAGATAAATAATATTAATTGCCACCGTAATTACATTATTACTATTTCGGTGGAGATTTATACTAATTTGTTGACAACACTAGAATAATTTCAAGGCAAAACTCAAAGAAATATATTTTAAGACTTGAATAAAATTAGGTGTCAATAGATGTTGGAGAAAATATCACTATTGTTCGCGCTATTGTTTTTATACTAAATCTTTCGATGGCGATTCGAATACGCAAACGATTCGAAGACGAAAGGATTTCGCGTTAGTGGTACAGATTGATTTAAATTAAAAACTGTCTATGTAAAAGTGCACCCAATTTGAGACCTTATTCGAAGGTATCAAGAGCGTGCACCTTAGTACCTCATACGAAGTAGTAGAATGGGTACAAATACCGCCACCAACTGCCGTTGTTGTTGCTTTCTTCTTCTTCTGGCGTATCGCTGTCTCCCTCTTGCGGGGTTGATTGTTCCTAGAATAATAAATTTACAATTTAAGTAAGTACTTTAGGCATCAATAAATATTTAAAAACGTTTGTTACAAAAAAAGAAAAGGTAAAAATTATACATTACATACAAATTATAAAGCATAGTCAGCGTCAAATAATTCGTGACACCCAAAGTGGCCAAAAAGTTCGTAACACGTCTTTGTTACAATGAGGGTTTTCGGGAATGAAAAATCCGCCAGATGGCAATACGTAGACGCGAGGCCCAAATTCTGCACGATTGGTTATTTTTGACATGACATTTACAGATAAGTCAAAATCCACCAATCATGCAGCATTTGGACCTCCCGTCTTCGTATTGCCATCTGGCGGATTTTTCAATCGCGAAAACCCTCATTGTAACAAAGACGTGTTACGAACTTTTTGGCCACTTTGGATGTCACGAGCCATTTGATGCTGACTGTACTTATGAAATATATTTATTATTATACCTCTTTTTTCGTCATATTTTCAACTTTCGTCTGGACTTCGGGTTGATTCTGAAACAAAATTAATATTCAATATCAAAAAATTTTTAAAAACAAGTTAAATTCTGAAAATAAAAAAAAATACAAACGCTACAGCGAACTTTGCATGGAAATAGCGTGACATCACATAACACAATGAGGGCTATCGTTAAGGTCCTGTCACTTGCTAGTCGCGAAGACAGTGGCGCCAACTTGTGAGCGCTAAAGTGGTAGGAGGACTATCGCATTTGCACTCATCAAGATGGCGCCACTGTAGAGTAAGGTCCTGTCAATCGCCAGGGGTGCCAACTGTTAAGTATAAAAACGATAGCCCTCATTGTTTCAATGTGCCCAATGACGTCACGACATTTCAAACAATCTGTGCTTTTTGCCTTGAGCAGTAGATTTTGCCCTTTAAATACAAATTACATACTTTAACGTCGTTTTTGGCGTGCGCCGTCATTTTGATCAACACGTCTCTCGTCGGTCCATCAGGCGCGTCGTCCGTTTGCGTGCTCTGGTCGCGAGTGGTTTCCGATCCGTTCCCGCTGTCTAGATCTGGGCCGTCTTTTGACGACTAAAAGAGAAAAAAGATTACTAAATAGAGTGAGTTTGTTGCGCTGCTTCTTCTCAGCACTGGCCCATTTATTTTCCCGAAGCAGTGGTAGGGTTAATACAGGGACGTGTAAAAGTGCTTTTTGAAAGCCTACTTGCAAAAATAAAATGAGTTTTTGTAAAAAGTCAACCCCATTTCTCGTGGAACCATCGGGACCACAGATCTCAGAAACTAAAGGGAGATGTGACAAGGGGGCATTGCCGGTGTCTCGTGACAGCAATGATGACAGCAGCGACGTCATAATGTAAACAGCTTACATTGCTTGCACAGTACTAAAGATTATTCGAACGTTGAGTACTGATACGGCAGTGGATAATGAGCACATATTTTCGATTTTTTTGTGTGTGTGAATTTCTTTCTAATGCGTTTCTAACTTAGCGCATTAGTTGGCATCTTTCTATATCTTTATGATCGGGACTCATTCAGGCCCACTTCCTGTGAGGCTTCTGAAAGAAGGAATTCATCGCAAAGAGGTTTCTTCTCCAGAAATTCGGCCATTCCCTGCCCCTTGGGGTTCCGTAGCAGACATCCATATTGCCACTCTCAGCTCATCATCATCTAGCATGCTTAGTTTCGCGTTGTAAACGCAGCGTGGAATCACAAGGTGGATCGACGACCTTATAAAGGTAGCAGGTAGGCGCTGGACGCAGGCCGCGACCAACCGGCTAATCTGGCAATCATTAGGGGGGGCCTATGTTCAGCAGTGGACGTCCTATGGCTGAAATGCTGATGATGTATAAATAAAATGGAATTTACCTCCATATCTTGCTCGCTAACTGTGACGGGGGCCAGGCAGACGTCTTGTGGCTTCGGAGGGCCGAAGGGCGCGAAGTCTGGGAGGTCCTGCGAATTGATTCTGTTATTATTCTTTCTTTTTATGCATAAGAAGGCAGGTATTTGACCACAATCGCACCTGGTGTTAAGTGGGATGCAGTCTAGGATGGTACATATCTGCCCTGTAAGTGCTTATTCACTCTCGCCTTGAAAAGGCCCGGATTATAGTCTTCGGGAAAGACAGCAGCAGGCAGCGAATTCCAGTCCCTAGCTGTTCGCATTATAAAAGAGTCATCGAAACGCTTAGTGCGAGTAATAAATCTGTTACGTCACTTAAAATAATGTAATGTTGCAATACCCTTGCAGAGATAATTTTACGGGCATAGAATAATAAAGTATTTAAAAAATGTCTATTCAATGTCGCCAACAATATGGTGTAATTTAGCTTGTCTCAGAGTCGGGAACCGTTTCGTTTACATACATCAGTGATCGGTACTGTGCCGATACGATAGGCCTGACTGACTGCTACAAGAAGCTACTGTGTCTCCATCTATCGTGTCGATGTGTCGTATCACACGCGTATTCTTTCTCTTACAGCTCTCTCTCTCTCTCTCTTTCTTTCTATCTCTTATCTGGTAGCGTGGGCGTCGTTCCAGCTATTACCTGGTCACGTATCTCTCTCTCTATTACCTGGTCGCGTCTCTCTCTCTCTTGCCTAGTGGCCGCGCGCGTGGCTCTAGTTCTTTCTCACCTGGTCGCGTCTCTCTCTCTCTTACCTGGTCGCCGCGTGCGCCGCTCCAGCTCTCTTTCTCTCTCATCTGGTCGTTCTAGCGCTCTCTCTCTCTTACCTGCAGGCCGGGCGCGTCGCTGCCGCTCGCTCTCTCTAACTCTCTCTTACCTGGTCACGTCTCTCTCTCTCTCTCTCTCTCTTACCTGGTCGAACGTGTCTCTCTTTCTCTCTCTTACCTGGTCGCGTATCTCTCTCTCTCATCTGGTAACAGCGGGCGTCGCTCTAGTTCTCTCTTTCTCCCTCACCTGGTCACCGCGCGCGTCGCTCCAGGCCTGGTACCCGGCGGCGGCGCGGCGCATCCTCTCCAGGTAGGCGGGCGCGGCGCGGCCGGTCGCCCAAGTTGCCACGCCCGTCGGGAGACCGCCGACCGCCGGCTATACAGTAGCATGTTTCTTTCTTTCCTTCTTACCTGGTCGCCGCGGGTGTCACTCCATGTCTCCCTTTCTTTCCTTGTCGCCGCGGGCATCACTCTAGCTCTCTCTCTCTCTCTTACCTGGTTGCGCGGGCGTCACTCTAGCTATCTCTCTTACCTGGTCGCGTGTCTATGTCTGTCTCTCTCTCTCTCGCCTGGTCTCCGCGGGTGACGCTCCAGCTCTCTCTCTCTCTTACCTGATCGCTGCTCCAGCTCTTTCTCTCTCTCTCTCTTACCTGCTCGTATGTCTCTCTCTCTCTCTCTCTCTCTTACCTGGTCGCCGCTCCAGCTCTCTCTCTCTCTTACCTGGTCGCGTCTCTCTCTCACCTGGTCGCCACTCCAGCTCTCTCTCTCTCACCTGGTCGCCGCGCGCGTCGCTCCAGGCCTGGTAGCCGGCGGCGGCGCGGCGCATCCTCTCCAGGTAGGCGGGCGCGGCGCGGCCGGTCGCCCACGTTGCCACGCCCGTCGGGAGACCGCCAACCGCTGGCTACTGTTTAATGTTTCTTTCTTTCTTTCATTCCTTCTTGCCTGGACGCCGCGGGCGTCGCTCCAGCTCTCTCTGTCTTACCTGGTCGTGTGTCTGTCTCTCTCTCTCTCTCTCACACCTGCTCGCATCTCTCTCCCTCACCTGGTCACCGCGCGCGTCGCTCCAGGCCTGGTACCCGGCGGCGGCGCGGCGCATCCTCTCCAGGTAGGCGGGCGCGGCGCGGCCGGTCGCCCACGTCGCCACGCCCGTCGGGAGACCGCCGACCGCCGGCTACTGTAATAAACGTTTCTTTCTTTCCTTCTTGCCTGGCCGCGGACGTCGTTCTAGCTCTCTCTCTCTTACCTAGTTGCCGCGAGCGTCGCTCCAGCTCTCTCTCACCTGGTCACGTGTCTGTCTCTCTTACCTGGTCATATCTCTCTCTCTCCCTCTTACCTGGTCGCAGCGGTCGTCGCTCTAGCTCTCTCTTACCTGGTCGCGTCTCTCTCTCTCTCTCTCTCTCTTATCTGGTCGCGTGTCTATGACGCTCTCTTGCCTGGTCGTGTGTCTATGTCTCTCTCTTACCTAGTTGCCGCGAGCGTCACTCCAGCTCTCTCTCACCTGGTCACGTGTCTGTCTCTCTTACCTGGTCATATCTCTCTCTCTCCCTCTTACCTGGTCGCAGCGGTCGTCGCTCTAGCTCTCTCTTACCTGGTCGCGTCTCTCTCTCTCTCTCTCTCTCTCTTATCTGGTCGCGTGTCTATGACGCTCTCTTGCCTGGTCGTGTGTCTATGTCTCTCTCTTACCTGGTGGCCGCGCGCGTCGCTCTAGCTCTCTCTTACCTGGTCACGTCTCTGTCTCTTACCTGGAGGCGTCTCTCTCTCTCTTACCTGGTCGCGTCTCTCTCTCTCTCTCTTACCTGGTCGCGTGTCTATCTCTCTATCTCTCTCTCTCTCACCTGGTCACCGCGCGCGTCGCTCCAGGCCTGGTACCCGGCGGCGGCGCGGCGCATCCTCTCCAGGTAGGCGGGCGCGGCGCGGCCGGTCGCCCACGTCGCCACGCCCGTCGGGAGACCGCCGACCGCTGGCTACTGTTTAATGTTTCTTTTTTTCTTTCATTCCTTCTTGCCTGGACGCCGCGGGCGTCGCTCCAGCTCTCTCTGTCTTACCTGGCCATGTGTCTATGTTTCTCTCTCTTACCTAGTTGCCGCGAGCGTCACTCTAGCTTTCTCTCGCCTGGTCACGTGTCTGTCTCTCTCTCTCTCTCTATCTCTCCCTTACCTGGTCACCGCGCGCGTCGCTCCAGGCCTGGTACCCGGCGGCGGCGCGGCGCATCCTCTCCAGGTAGGCGGGCGCGGCGCGGCCGGTCGCCCACGTCGCCACGCCCGTCGGGAGACCGCCGACCGCCGGCTCGTCGTAGTAGGTTAGAACGAATTCCATGCCGGGCTGTGGAGGTAATACATTTATTTACTATTTGATTACAAATAGTTAAATATGAGTAAAATGTGTTTTTTAACGATGGTTAGCTCGATTTTTAGTAGGTATAATTTTTTACTATAGTCTATCCAATATAGCTTGATTAGAATGACAGCTGGCATCAAAAGTAACGACATAACTCTGTAGTAGCGATCAATGAGAGCTAAATATTGGCGGACAAGAAATAATTCACGTCTGACCTACAAACAATATTTTCGACGACAGTGCTTCCAATAAAAATGTTAATTTCGTGTAAATGCAGCGTTACATTACACCAATAAGTAGTAATTCGAAATTATAAAAATCAAGCTAGAGTATTAACGACGTCTCTACAAGGTTATTTCGAGTTACAAAAATGTTAGTGTTGGGACATATCGACAAATGTCATATTAAATTAAAACTAATTTTTTAACATATTTAACAAAAAAAATTCTAACTAATTTTTTAACATATTTAAGTTAAGTTATACGTTTTTCTAAATGTTCACTATTAAAAACCAAAAAAAAATTCATTCTTAAATAATCAAACATCGGAAATCAATCACCGGTAATTTTTTGGGTATTCATAGCACCGTTGCTCTAGAAGAGATGNGATTACCCCGACCTTGGTTCAGTGCACGATCGATTACTCTATCCTGTTTTTTTAGGTTTCTTTACATGGAAAGTTCTTGAGAATGTACAGGAATAATGGTCCATGTAACCGCATTTTTGTGTATTAAAACATATGGGATTCAACTTACAGATTGGGTTCTGGAAGCCTGAACGTACTTGTCAGAACGCGTTTTTCTAGTGTTTTTCAGCGTGCCTGCTGTATCTTTTTGGTAAATAGTAGGTACTGGATTAACGATTAACGGACTTAGGATAATTTAACGGAAGTTAACGAGTCCGTTAACATTTTTTAAAGTTAACTTAAAAGTTAATCCGTTAATAGAAATGTTAACTTCGTTAATTAACGGTTAACGGATTAACGAGTTAACGCCCAGCTATGATGGTCAGTGGGAAAGGATAACAAGCATGAAAATATCGACGGAAGGTCATTATACAGAAAAATACTTTAACACCGCGATGCAGCTTTCGGCTGCTTTTACGCTGCTGCCATTTATTGGCAGGAGGCAGAAGCTTATACGATAAATATCACTGCACCTTGATGTGAACAGCACAGCGTCATCTAGTGACGAGCGTTATAACTACATTCTTCTTGGTAGGTTTGGTAGAGAACCACAGTATGTCGCTAACATCATCCCGTTTATTCCCGATGTCCCCCACTATTTGTCCACCACTGGTGGACATCGAGAAAAAAAGTTGCAATGTCCAGCAGTGGGGGACAGCGCTACTGAAATCTTCCCGTTGGGCCCTACTGGTGGACACTGAGAAGAAATGAGTTGCTCTGTCCCTCAGTGGTGGACATCGAAACCAAAAAAGTTCCGTTGTCCTCCACTATTATATTTGTGTTCATGAATACAAACATTTTAAGTAAATCTTATACTAATAATTATAATACATACATTTTTAAAGCATTTTTATTATAGTTTAAAACAATCCTTAATTTATACTGACGCCCCTAGGAAGTGTGCGTTAATCGGAACGGTTTTGTCATTTTTAATTTTCCAAGTACCCACAATGTTCATGTTATCAGAAATTATTGTGTCGGTAATGTTACTATTTTGCACTTAGGTATTATCTGTAATAATGTCGGAAATTGCAGGATCTAGTTCACGACAAATTGAAAAAGTTTACTACATAAATAGGAAAGGTTGGATGTTAAAAAACTGAGAATTATACATATTTGATACGAATTAAAAAAAATATTTTTTAATAATCACGAAAACAAAACAAATAGTGGGGGACAACGGAACTTTTTTGGTTTTGATGTCCACCACTGAGGGACAGAGCAACTCATTTCTTCTCAGTGTCCACCAGTAGGGCCCAACGGGAAGATTTCAGTAGCGCTGTCCCCCACTGGTGGACATTGCAACTTTTTTTCTCGATGTCCACCAGTGGTGGACAAATAGTGGGGGACATCGGGAATAAAATAAATTATAGCCTATATCGCCCATTTGCGACGACACTGTGACATCTCGACATATACGATTTTTTGTTTTACCGAAATTCTGAACCGCGATCTTGCGTTCTTTCATCTCCAANTATTATTATTATTATTAATCATTGGTAGCGATTGATTATTTAAAAAAAACTGGGCCTAATTTATAGCCTGACCAGGAACATAAAAACCCTCGCCATGTTGCGGAAAACTAATGGTACTAATTTCTTTTAATGGCAACAGTAACTGAAAACTTCATTGAAATGTCACCTTGCATGTCAGTATATTGCTGTCAAAGTGTAAACAAACTTTATTTTAAATGTGCGCAATTGGTTTTATGAAAAAAATTGCTAAAATATTTTTATAGTCGTGAAAGAAAAGTGGTTCACAATGTGTTAAAGTATTTGTCGAAGAGAAATACTAAGGGTTCGCACAATATTTTCATTGAATAATGTTTCCGACAAAGGTTGTCAAATTGACTGACATGTTTATCGTTAGTACAGTCCACTATGAAAATTAGCTGTGGTTTGTTTCAACTACCTATTTTAAAATTTTTTGTCACTTTCTAAGTGTTGAATTTTATGGGATTGAGAAAGAAGTACCGAGTTTGAAGCGTTCATGAGCAGACATTGCAGTTGAATATTCAAGTTCTGAATTTGATTATTGATGAATAAATAAATTCTACTAGCTCGATTGATGGTTTCATTTAATTTATTTAAATCAGGTTACCTATAATAATATTTTTTCGTTAATTTATGAAAATATCAAATTAGCCCGTAATCCTGAATCCTGATACATAAAGTTAGCCTATTAATTTAACACAGGTACGACTGTACTCAGTGTTGCACTATCAAATGCAATTGACGCGCCTCTATGCCAGGGTTTTTATGTTCCTGGTCAGGCTATACCTGCGTGATCGAATCAGAAATGAGATGTGACCGATATAGCTCGCAGAATTGCTAAAATCAAGTGGCAGTGGACACATAGCTCGCAGAGCTTATGGCCTGCAGCGGCCATCGGGCCAGCCAGCGCTGGGAGAAAAAAAAGTTCTCGAATGGCGACTCGAAGGCCCTCCACTAGGTGGACTGACGATCTGGTGAAGGTCGCGGGAAGAACCTGTATGCGGGCAGCGCAGGACCGGTTCTTGTGGAAATCCTTTGTCCAGCAGTGGACGTCATTTGACTGAAACGAACGAACGATATTACTACATAGTAGATCTAACTTACCTTGTCAGGCCCATCGATGGTCTTCACGACCATATGGCTCCAGTATTCCAGCACTCGTATCGCGTGTTTCGTCTCGGGTACTTTCGGGTGCTCGCACGAGCGAGACACGATTATGAACACCTGTGGAAAATATATGTGTGAAGATATTTGTCAAGATGTTTGCAAAGATGTGTGTCAAGCTGTTTGCAAAGATATGTGTCAAGATGTTTGCAAAGATATGTGTGAAGATCTTTGCAAAGATATTAATCAAGATGTGTGTCAAGATGTATGCATAGATGCATGAAAAACTGCGTTTGGGAGGTCATTTTCTGCACATCACTTTTTATAAAAAAAAAGTCTGTTGCAATGAACTAAAGCCTGGTCTGTGAGCACATAAAATTTTGTCCAATGACCCCAAGCTACCCATTCTTATCGCTCGCGTGTAATTATGTTGCTGTCGCGCTCGCACACTCACTGCGGGCGCGCGTCGCACCGTCGCGACAGTAATATAATTACGCGCGAGCGATAAGGATAAAGATAAAGATAAAGATAAAGATAAAGATAAAGATAAAGATAAAGATATTTTTATTTATCAGACCATGTGTGAGACAATACAGAAATATATTTTTGGTGTTAGTAGATTTTGTTAGTATCAACATGTCTTACCGATATTCGGCGTGTAAAAATTATAATTACTTAGTCTGTTTTTATCATTATAAGTCAATACATCGAAGTCAAATACAAATTAATTTAAAAATATATAATGTCAAAATTTATCATTAAGAAAGTCATTTATACAATAATAGCATTTTTCAATTAATAGTTTCTTAAATTTATTCTTGAAAAGATTATTATTAAGCGATTTATAGGCCTGGGGAATCTTATTATAAATTTTGGGAGCCATGCATACTACACTATTCAGCATCAGAGTTGTCTTTGCATTATGCAAGCATAATTTGCTACCATCGCGACGATTGCGGACAACTTTGTCAGCAAGCCGCGGAAACAGGTGACAGTTTGCTCTTACAAATAGTGCTATTTCCAATAAATATAATGACGGAAGTGTAAGAATTTTATGCTTTCTAAAGTATGGAATACAACTATCGGTTGTCTGAAGGCCAAACATAGCTCGGATACATCGTTTTTGACTTTTAAACGCTATTTCTTTATCCGTTGAGTTTCCCCAAAAAATGATACCATATCTAAGGACTGATTCCACCAGTCCATAATAGGCTGTGAGCAGAGCATCAGTACTTACTACGGTGGAAAGTTTAAACAAAGCAAAAGCTGAACTACAGGTTTTTTTGCTCAGTTCCTCTATATGGTTTTTCCAATTTAGTTTTTTGTCAATTTGGATACCGAGAAATCGTGTTGTATCCACCTCACTGATNGATGGGTAGCTTGGGGTCATTGGACCAAATTCTACGTGCTCACGGACCAGGCTTTAGTATAGATTAAGTCCTACCTTGTTCTCTTTCACTCCTCCATCCATCTCCCTCCGTTCGTTGTCCCTCGACTTCTGTTTCGCCCGCGAGTGAACGTTGGGTCTTTCGGGAGGTGTCTGGGGCTCCGAGGGGGTGAAAATCCCATCTTTATGGGGGAGGGGCGGGGAGTTGATAGTGAACTCTTTGTGCCGCCTGATGTAGACGTAGTCGCGGTTCGCGAATAGTCTCTGTAAAGAAAGATGAATTGAATGAATGCCTGAGGTATGGGAGCGGCACGGAAGGGATGAGTTTGACATATTATGAAGTGACAGAGCATACAAATCTGAGGTGGAATTGTGTTATAGATGACCCACGCTGAACTGTCCCGCCAAACTCAATGACAGGGGGGCGCTACCATCGTTCAACTATATGGTTTCCAACATGGCAAAAATCTGAACCAGCGATCCGGTATTGACGGTGGCGCCCCACTGTCAATGTCATCGACAGGACAGTCCAGTATTTTGGAACTATAGCAATCGTTATCATTTGACAGTTCATAACGTACGATTATTCTGTCAAACGCTTTGTTTAACTTTATTGTACGTTATGAACTGTTAAATGATTACGATTGCTTTACACAATTCCACCTCTGAAGTCTCACTGACGTTTGGGCGTCACAATGTCACCCTCCTCGGAGAATAACTGTTGGAGTTGTCATAAGATCGAGTGATGTCCGGCTCGAGGTGTCAATGTGCCCGGGTCAAGTTGTCGGGGGTCGAGTGTTCTGCGAGTCAGCTGTCGGGGGTCTAGAGTTATCCGGGTTGAGTTGTCATAAGATCGAGTGTTTTCCGGGTCTATCGTAGTCCAGTAGCCTTATTAACAAAACTTAAACGACAACAAATCGCTGAGTTGCGATTCTATCGAGTATCGTTCTATCGAAATGACCCTTGTGAATACGTATTTAGAACTGTTTTTCAATGGGACGACTTCTGAACGTCAGCGAGATTTTGACTGTGTCAAATACGTGAATTAGGCCACAGGTCGAGTATTGTCCGGGTCGATTGTGGTCCAGGTCGAGTGTTGTTCGGGTCTAGTGTGGACTGTGGTCCAGGTCGAGTGTTGTCCGGGTCTAGTGTGGACTGTGGTCCAGGTTGAGTGTTGTCCGAGCCTATTGTGGTCCAGGTCGAGTGCTGTCTGGATCAAGTGTGGTCTTGGTCTAGTGCTGTCCGGGCCGAGTGTGGCCCGGTTCCATTTGTGTCCGGCTCGAGTATTACCGGGGTAGAGTGATGTCCGAGTCTGGTATAATCCAGGTTGAGAGATGTCCGGGTCAGGGTTCTATTAAAGTACTTACCGGCCATAGCACCTCCCAATGTAGCACGGCCTGGTCGCTCACGCCATTAGCTCGCCGCTCGACCAACGCCAGCGCCGCCACCGCCGCGTCCCACGCGCGCCGGTACGCGCCATCCACTTGGACCGCTGCGAAGTCCGCCGCTTGGGGGAAGCTGACTAATAGTTTGGCTCGAGTTTTGTTAGAGTCGAGTTGTCATAGGGTCGAGTTGTCATGAAGTCGAGCTGTCGTAGAGTTGAGTTGTCGTAGAATGGGGTTGTCATAAGGTCGAGTGTTGTCCAGGTTGAGTATGGTCCAGGTTGAGTGTGGTCCAGGTCGAGTATTGTCCGGGTTTGTGTTTATTGTGGTCCAGGTCGAGTTTTGTCCGGGTCGAGTGATGTCCGGGTCTAGTGTGGTCCGGGTCCAGTGTTATCCGGGTCTAGTGTGGTCCAAGTCGATTGCTGTCCGGGTCAGGGTGCTATTGAAGTACTCACCGGCCATAGAACCTCCCAGTGCAGCACGGCCTGGTCGCTCACGCCATTCGCTCGCCGCTCGACTAACGCCAGCGCCGCCACCGCCGAGTCCCACGCGCGCCGGTACCACCATCCACTTGGACCGCTGCGAAGTCCGCCGCTTGGGGGCAGCTGACTAGTAGACTTGGTCGCGTTGTCATAGGTTTGAGTTGTATTGAGGTCCAGTGACAGGATGGAGTTTTCCGGGATTGAGCTGTCATAGGGTCTAGTGACGTCAGGGTTGAGTTTTCATAGGGTTCAGTGACGTCAAGGTTGAATTGTCATAAGGTTGAGTTATTTGCCGGGTCAGTTGTCATAAGATCGAGTGATATCCGGGTTGAGTATTATCCGGGTCGAGTTGTCATAAGGTCTAATGATGTCCGGGTCTAGTGTGGTCCAGGTTGAGTCGAGTGTTGTCCGGGTCTAGCTAGTGTGGTCCAGGTCGAGTGCTGTGCGTGTTTAATGTGGTCCAGGTGGAGTGCTGTCCGGGTCGAGTGTGGTCCAGGTCTAGTGCTGTCTGGATTGAATGCTGTCCGGGTCGAGTTTTGTCCGCATCGAGATGCCTCAAGGTTCTATGAAGTACTCACCGGCCACAGAACTTCCTAGCGTCTGCCTGTTATTTGCGTCACCAGCCTTGGGCAGTTTAGTTCACTGTGAGAAGGTGATAGGATCTTAGTACACTCACCGGCCATAACACCTCCCAATGTAGCACGGCCTGGTCGCTCACGCCATTCGCTCGCCGCTCCACCAACGCCAGCGCCGCCACCGCCGCGTCCCACGCGCGCCGGTACGCGCCATCCACTTGGACCGCTGCGAAGTCCGCCGCTTGGGGGGAGCTGACTAGTAGACTTGGTCGCGTTGTCATAGGTTTGAGTTGTATTAAGGTCCAGTGACATGATGGAGTTTTCCGGGATTGAGCTGTCATAGGGTCTAGTGACGTCAGGGTTGAGTTTTCATAGGGTTCAGTGACGTCAGGGTTGAATTGTCATAAGGTTGAGTTATTTGCCGGGTCAGTTGTCATAAGATCGAGTGATATCCGGGTTGAGTATTATCCGGGTCGAGTTGTCATAAGGTCGAATGATGTCCGGGCCGAGTGTGGTCCAGCTCGAGTATTGTCCGGTCTATTGTAGTTCAGGTCGAGTGCTGTTCGGGTAGTGTAGCCTGGTTCCATTTATGTCCGGGTCGAGTGCTGCCCGGCCGGGTCGAGTTTTGTCCGAGTCAGGGTGCTATTGAAGTACTCACCGGCCATAGAACCTCCCAATGTAGCACGGCCTGGTCGCTCACGCCATTCGCTCGCCGCTCGACTAACGCCAGCGCCGCCACCGCCGCGTCCCACGCGCGCCGGTACGCACCATCCACTTGGACCGCTGCGAAGTCCGCCGCTTGCACTTCCTTGTAGCGGCCGTATACTGAAACGGAGATGTGGCTAAATAAGAAATAATGAAAAGTATAAGCCCTCGGGTCGGGGGCATTTTGCCAACCTATAGTTACGCCACTGACTGCAAGCAAACTTTTTGTCGGCCGATAGTTGGGCCCGATTCTAATTTGTATGAAGAATTGGCCGATACTAGTGTGCGCATGTCCATCTGATTAACAGCTCGACCCAACTTAAAGTCGGTGGTCTGCGCCTAAGCTAAGACATAAGAAACCGAGACATAGGGCCTGGAAAAGTGCACATTCTGCGTCAGACCCGTTAAGAGCATTGTATCCAGAAATAAACCAAACCACAATGTTTCAGTCTAATTGTAAAAAAAACTGAATTTAATAATAATGTGTCAAATCAGTAGAGAAGAGTTTTCTTACATTCCGATGCAGTTCTTATTCATTAAGCCGTATTGCACCAGAATCAATCACACAGGGTATTTTAGATATTAGGTATTTTAGAAATCGGCAATGGGAGACGGCGTATGTGACTGCACCAGACAGTCTGCCAACAGAGAGAGATGGCGGGAGCGAACGGATAAGAAGAAGTATGACTTCCACATCACCCGGTTCGTAGTTTAGACTGTATTCCAGTATAATTATGAAAGAGCTAATGAAGTTCAAATACATGCATCATTAACCTTAAGAATGTCGACCTTGTTGCCATGACGAATGTGTGTTAAATGCCATTATCATATCGTCTAGCGGCTTATCTTGTTGGGTAATACAGATAATGATCGCAACATTATGTAAGCACACAGACATTATACCGCTACCTACAGTACGGCTGGGTGAAAAAAATTGGAAAAATATTGGCTATTAAAAAAATGCATTAAGTGCCTTTTTCTTGTAATGTGGATTTCAGCATTTGGGGGTTTGACGCAGACCGTGCCATTCGCATGCCGTCCCATTGTGTCAGGCCTAAGAGGGAGGCAATCTGGCCCAGGGGGGAGGAAATTTGGCCCATGAGGGACGAAATCAGGCCTAGGGGGGAGGAAATCTGGCCCAGGAGGGAGGCAATCTGGCCCAGGGGGGAGGAAATCCAGTCCAGGGGGTAATCTGGCCCGGGAAGGGGAAAATCTGGCCTGATTTTTTGGGATAGACAGCACAGTCAACAAATCAGATTATTAGGCAGGATACCCCACGCTTGGCCACTCAGTCCGCCAATGAAGATTCCCACCTCTCGTTCCCACTGCTGCAATTCCTGTGTAGCCAGGATCTACAGCTTGACCGCCAATAAAAACCTAACCAGTGAAGGTCAAGTTTGACCCGGCGGAAAGTTAAGCTGTCATTGGACCCGCAACGAAATTAATCAGAAGAACATAGGAGTGCGAAGTTAAGGTTCTACTTCCCTCCAGTCCAAAGCGGATGACAGGAGACAAAACAAAGGTTTAAGTAACCAGTAGTATTGAGGATAGTTACCTTTATACGCATACAGGCCTTGCCCAGGTTTGTATTCCTTCCTCCAAATGATCACATCCTCAACTTCCATATATGGCACCCAACCGTCCGAGGAATCTTCCAACGCTTGTGATTCTTTGCACCTGTAACACAATTAGCATTAGATCTACAATCGCTTGGCAATGAACATGCTCTAAATTTTATACCGTATGGATTCTTGCATTTACAATACTATATCTCTAGCACAAAACTCGGTCAGTGCCTGAGTTATGGGAGTGGTGACATTGACATAATATGACGTGACAGAGCATACAAATCTGAAATCTCGTTGACGTTTGACGTCTCAAAAACACCCTCGAGTGTCGCTCCCATGCCTTTTTTATGTGACAGGAGGCAAACGAACAGACGGATCACCTGATGGTATAGATGACCTAAAATGAACTGTCCCACCAAACTTATTGACAGAGGGGCGCCACCATCGTCAACTTTATAGTTTCCAACATGGCAAAATTTGAACCAGCGATCTGGTAAAAACGGTGACGCCCCGCTGTCAACGTCACGGATAGCACAGTTCAGTATATATTTGGGTCTATAAGTGATTACCGTCACCCATAGACACCCGCAGTCCCAGGGGCGTTACAGGTGCGTTGCCGGCCTTTTAGGTGAAGATACGCTCTCTTCTTGAAGGCTTGCAGGTCGTATCGGTCCGGGAACACCGCAGACGACAGTCCATTACACAGTTTGGTGTCCAAATAATGGTATTCCATCTCAGGAACTGACTGAGTTATGCACTAGAGCAGGGTTTCCCAATTTTTTTTTTGCCAAGGAACCCTAATTGATTATACTTTTCCTAGCGGAACCCCCGTACTACTCCGCCCGCACGCCCTGCCCCTCCCTTGTGCGTAAACAATTCGGTGCGAGCGACCAACGTCGGTCACGAAATGTGGGATAATATTTTTTACGGAACCCTTGCGGCCTTTCCACGGAACCCCAGGGTTCCGCGGACCACCATTCGGGAACCGCTGCACTAGAGCAGTGGTTCATAACCTTTAAGTCACGAGGGACCATTTTACCAAATTTCTGTCTTGTCAGGGACCACTTATATTTTTTTCAAAATCCTATGAAAGGGGAGGTCGATTTCTCGCCCACTGTGCGCCGTTTGAGTTGTGTTGACTCGACTCATCACGTCACTTGTTTATTACGATGTCTTCGTGGACCACTTGGGATGCCTCCAGGGACCACCAGTGGTCTGCGGACCACCGGTTAAGAACCACTGCACTAGAGCTATAATATTATATGGCGGATTTACACTGCGCGGAAATTAGCCAAGTCAAGTCAAAAAAACAGTGGGGTGGGGATGAAAAATGAATGAATTTCATCATCACTCAACTGTTTTTTTGACTTGACTCGGATTGATTGAATTTCCGCGCAGTGTAAAAGCGCCTTTACAGGACGTTTTAATTAGGCATGGTGAGCCAAATTGGACTATGTACGTCCCTCTCACCCCTGCAACGTCAGTAAGCCGAGAGAAAGGGACGGGTATACTAACGCACAGTACCGCACGCCCGGTTGTTTTTTGTCTATGACCAGCCGCTTGCCGCAGCTTGTGCAGAAGAGGGTAGCTTGTGATAATTTTTCAACTCCTTCCAGCTCCGTTAGTAGGGCCTGTTGAAATAAAAATAATGGTATTGAAAAATCATCATCATCATAACATAGTACAAAACTGTCTATCCCTATGTACGAGTATGCTTAAATCTTGAAAACTACACAACGGATTTTGTTGATGCGTTTTTTTTAATAGATAGAATGATTCCAGAGGACGGTTTATATGTATACTTGGCACCCGTGAAAAGTCGGGGCGGGTCGTTAGTCTTTCTTTATTATAAAAAAGCGAAATGTCACTGACTCAGTCATCACGAAATCTCAGAAACTACAAGTGCTAATAGGAGTCTCAAATTTTGCATGGGGGTTCCTTTTAGAACGTAGGTGCTCACTGAGACGGGATTTTGCAAAATTCAACCCCTAAGGGGTAAAACGGGGTCAACGCGTACGAAGTCGTGGGCGGCCGCTAGTTAATTATAAAACGACGAGTCGAGTGATATTAGTTGGCCTTTAGCCTAAAGAAGTTCCTAATCTTTCAGTATCTTTACCCCTGTGACCTGTGAGACAAATTGAGTGTTTTACCCCCTAGTGATTCGCATACTATAGATAGGGCCATTCACGAAGATACGCCCCGCCATTCGGGCCAAGCCAAGTTCCCGCCAAGTTATCGGTACTCGCTAAATTATCCATGAGTGCACACGCACACTACAATAATGACGCTCAGATTGCTCGGATCAAACTCCCGCACTTCCCTCGACCAAAAATTGGTGGGGCGCGTCTTCGTGGATGGCACGATCTATGTATAAGCATGAGCATAGTATAATAATGAGTATATTATCTGTTTGTTTCTTTAAATTATTAAATTAGATTACGTATTTTGAAAAAAATAAGGTGGCTTTTTAAGAGTAATTAAAAAATCTTTGTTCCCCTTGTTCTTCAAGGTCAAAATAATACCGAAATTCATAAAAATTAGTTCACTGGAAGCTAACAGATGGGCATCTATATAAAAATGAATCGCAAAATGTGTTGGTAAGCGCATAACTCAACAACGCCTGGACCAATTTTACCAACTCTTTTTTTTAGTGTTTGTTGGAATCCAAGGATGGTTTTTACGACGAGAAAAGTTCGAATAATAATCGGGAAAACCCTAAAACAGCCCTTTTTTCACGCGGGCGAAAAGCTAGTGTTATAATAAAAGAAGATATTGAACACAAAGAAAGAACACTCTCACTAAATCTGGCAGCAATTTTGTTATCACTCCTTTGTGTCTATTTTTAGCTCTCTTTAAAATGTCCTCGCCTAAACTTCTTGCTTTGTTGTTTACTAAAGTTCATTGACAAATACAAAACAATTGTATCAATATGCAATATTTGTAAAATGATTTATTTTATACTAGCTTTTGCCCGCGGCTTCACCCGCGTGAAATTTCGTTTGTCACAGATCGTCATAAATCATAGCCAATATGTTATTCTGGGTTATAAACAATAATACTGTAAAATTTCATCAAAATCCGTTCAGTAGTTTTTGCGTGAAAGAGTAACAAACATCCAGACATCCAAACTTTCGCATTTATAATATTAGTAGGATAGTCCAGTCATTTAAGCTTAAATTAGGTAAGAATCTCGGAATTCGAGATACCCAGCTGTAAGTCTGTAAATACTTGTATATTGACACCCTAAAAGTTGTCTCAAAACCTACATATGGTAGGGTGTAAGCAACTATTAAATTTTAAGGTCAAAGGTCACAAAAATCGCTTTTTTTGGAAACGGTTCACCGTATAAAAAAAAATTTTAAACAAAATTTGTAGAGAATTTAGTATTCTACAATATTGATAATAAATACAAATAGCAAAAAACCCATAGGAAATGAGATATTTCTAAAAAAAGCGCAAAAAACCGATTTTTGTGACCGTTGACCTTGAAATTTAATAGTTGCTTACACCTTACCATATCGCACACCTAGATCTAAACTGAGACAACTCAAAAATTGCCAATTTTGACTTATGCTTGTTTTCAAATACTCGGTTATCATACGCATCTTTCCAACATAACAGGTTTAATAAAGCCTTGATCCATTTGCCGGTAGATGGCGATAACTTACTTTTGTTGAATCAACGCTTGTCAACCCCTTCCACCTAAACAAGCGTTTTGTCAGTTGACCTTCGCTAGTATCAGAGAGTGCACGTATTAAAATAAACGAAAACGGGGATATTTAGATTTGTTACAGTTAAGCAGAAAATATATAATGAGTTAATTTGAGTAGTAGCAGTATTGATGAATTGTTCTGCAATAGTCAACCAGATTTTGACTTGTTCCAGTTTTTTTTGATAAAGTAACTTATATTTTGTTACTATTTTGAGTTGAGTTTGTTTTGATGAATCAACTTGTGAATTTCTAGTTGGCGTAGTTTTGTTGGAACAAATTTCAATTCAATGTTTTTCTATACAGAACGCGTAGTTTTGCATGTTTCACCTAAAATCAGGTACAGTATGATAATCCCTGTTTCTAAATAAAGTTAGTTTTATTCAAACTGTTCAACTGTTATGTTTGAGAAGAGTGTTTTGAGTTAACTTACTATTGTTGGATAAGTAAAAATTGCAGTAGATATTTTTTTTATTTACCGAAAAAAATATTCTAGATCGTTTTCTTTTAAATATTTTGAGAGAACAGTGTAAAGATAGTTAAAATGGCAATATACAGACGACGGCACTTCAAGTTAAACACTGTAGTAACTAATGTAGTTGTAATACAAGTGTATAGTCTGATATGCTGTTGTCTGCACAAGAGATAAAACCTTCTTTATAATGTAGAAATAAAAAAAAATTAGAAAAAAGGTCTATAATAAGTAAATAAAAAATAAATAAACATATCAATCAGCTGATGCTAAGAAAAAGTGGCTGAAGAAACTCAAACACCTATCATGTTCCACCATGTCATGAAATCTTCATTTATATCTCTTATGCTGATCCAAATCGTGTTAAAAAAGAACTGTTTTCTCAAACAATTCCTAAATTGATGATTAAGGATATCGAAACATTCAATGAAAACACTTTAATAGTGCAGTAAGAGGACTCAGCCACATCTTGAAATTTTGAAATACAGAGGACCAAAGAACGTGGAAGAGACGACATTTGAAAAGTTTTATGACACTAAAATCTTGCAAAAAATGTGGGCAACTAATTTGGTTGTAGACGAAAATCGGAATCAAGTTAAATGGCACGATATAAACATTTTAAGAGTGGAAAAGGAGGACTCAAATCTCAAAATGTCCAAACAAAACTGATTCAAGTCTAAATGTACTTTATTATTTATACAAAGTCATTCCCCTAAAATGTAACAACTAAAAAAACTGCGATTAAAGGTAAAAAGGATAGATTTTTTGACCCAGTTTATACACAGGGTCATTTCACAGCCTATCAATAATCCAAAATAAAACTGAGTTTCATAACTTCCCTAACAAAAAATGTAGTAATACGTTTTTTTCGCCTCCTGAAAAATGCCCTTTTTTGAGTTGTCTCAGTTTAGATCTAGGTGTGCGATATGTAGGTTTTGAGACAACTTTTAGGGTGTCAATATACACGTATTTTCAGACTTACAGCTGGGTATTTCGGATTCCGAGGTGAACTTACTATAATGACTGGACTAGGAGGACTATGGCTTCATCTGCTAAAATTTCAGTCTATCACTTTTTATCGCCCTTTTGGAAAAATGGGATAAAAACTATATTGTATAAGAATTATTTTTTTATTTGATTTGTTTTTTAGGGTCACAAACCCTACATTAAATTGGTTCAGTCGTAAGGTATACTATACTATCAGATTTATGAATTAGAATGGTTTTTTGACAATGATTCATTGTTTTTCAACCTCAAGACGAGTCAAGGTTGAAAATATGATATTGGTATGATGGCTAATTTCTTAAACATGTTATAGGTAAAGAAGAAATTGAATTCAGTAGAAGAATTAAGTACTTAGGCCCTGTTTCTACCAAGGCAGAGTGAAGCAGAGATATGTTTTGAATAACCAATCAGGTTTCCCTCAGATGGAATGAAATCTGAATGGTTATTTGAAACATTCTTTCGCTCAGCCTTGATGGAAACCAGGCCTTACAAGGTTTTATATGCCACAAGAATCAATATTGCACTTAAAACAATAAATAAAAAGTTTTATGTAAGGTTCTTCTACTTTGTATAAAGTCTGAGATATTTCTATCACAATGTTTACAAATATCAAATATTAGTTATGTAGGTGTTTGACCTTTACAAAAACTCAAAAGGTTGAAAATTAATACATAACTTGGTATACAAAACCATTAACAACTTTTTTAGTAAACAAACTATGTACCTACCTATTCTAAGTTAGAATTTTTAACAAATTAGATAATTTTATCTGTAAAAATAATGTGTGGCTGATGATTGCTGGAATTGTAAATATTTGCATTTCAAGTAAATCCACCACTCATTCAAAACTATATTTTATTGACAAGTATCAAAAATCCAGTCTTTAAAACTTTAAGGGATCATATTCAATTATTTTCATAACATTTTCAATGTCCAGTGTACTTTTTTAACTAGTGAGTTAACTACTTTTAGTAGTTTCTTAACTACTTTATTCTTTTTTACTTTGCCTTACCTCTAAGTCATCATCTGTAATATTTTGCTGGCAGCTCGGTGGACTTTCAGAAGAATCATCGCCCTTGCCTTTAAAAGCCGCAGTGGCAGCAAGAAGGAACGTCCTACGAGGCTTGAATATCGTCTGCCTGAACCGATCGAACACTTCCCGCACACAACGGTCACGCTTGACCCTTCTAACCACATTATTCACTATAAAACTCCTTGACCAGGCACTCCATAGTCTTGCTATACTTAAATCTTTGAGCACAAAACGAATTGAAGACATTCTTATGCCTTCAGACTTGCTCACGGTAGCAAACACGCCGTCCAAGATGCATCTCTTCGAGAAAAGCCGCGGCTTTAGCAGGCAGTACTGAACATTATTATTCAATGTAGATTTTACGAATAAAGTATGCCTGAATTTCCTGCATAACATCTCGTGAGCGATTGCGAAATTAATTTATAACCTCAAAATTGTTTGACAGCAATGACACTTTGTTTTAGTGTTACAACAACAAAATATTGATAAGAGATAAAAAGGTTTTTCTACAATTTCAAATCAATCAATAAATTCGTAAAATTGAAAAAATGGCTCCCATCTTTCATTATTTATCCTCAGAATACAGAACAAACCAGAAGGAGTGTTCGATAACATTTCTACGCGGCAACTTGTGTCCAAAATACTTCCCCTCCCGCGCCCCTCTACCCCCTTTAGTGTTACTAGCGCCGTGTGACACCCCCATTTTCGGGGTAAAATTATGTAATTTTTTAATGAGATGTTAAACAAGTAAAAAATAAGTAAGTGAAATAAGTACACACGGCCACAGTATTAACTATCCATTTCCGTTTTTGCTCTCGCTCTCATCAAATGGTGATTCTTTGCGATAGAACGAGACGACATGACTGGCCATAGGCATAGATAGTACCTACCTACCTATGAATTTAATTTTTACTCCGAAGTAACTAAGTGTAGATGATTATTATTTCTATTAAATAGTGTAATATACTACATGTAGGTATAATATGTTATTTAAAAGTCAATTACAAAATTCGAATATAAATTTTAGAATGCCAAGTAAAACAAAAAAGAAACTTAAGGTTCTTTATTATGTAAACATATCGACAACAAAACATTTGTTTACGGCGCAGTAGTGCTTTTAGTTTAACTTTTCTTGGAGTCAAAAACAGAATCCAAATCAAAAACATCACCAATACTTGAATTTGATTGCGAGGCAACTCTGGCTGTGTATCCTGAAAGAAAATCAGAGTAAGTATGTAAGCAATAATTAATTACTTAAAATTATTATTAAATATACAAATATTGCTGCTGCTGATCTGTTGATACCAATGCCTTACTTTTGAATAAATGGGAAAGTATGAAATTCACGATAGTAATTTATTATCTCCTCATTATTTAGGGAGTAATATTATAAATTAATTCAAATATTAAAATCAAATCAAAATCAAAAATATTTATTCAGTTTAGACCACAAGTGGCACTTATAATTTAATTAATCAGGTTGTCATATTGTCATGGATGAAAATACACTAAAAACTAATTAAAACAAAAAGGATGGGGAAAATATTCCATTATTCTGTGGTAACGCTAACAAAATTAACGCGTGAATTTTTTATAGACAAATGTAATTCAATATAAAAAAGTAGGGTAAAATATTCCGTAGACTTGTGGCAACACTTACAAAATACAACCGTGATTTTTTTTGAAAATTATTATTTAATTTAAATGAATTGGAAATGTGCTACTTACGGATAAAACATGATCCCATGCACTTTCTTCGTAATTCCAGTAGCATTCTTACATGTTGGAACGGCACAAGACGGCATAATTTAATTTTAAAGTGTCAATCTGACGGATATGTAAACAATGCGCGCGCCGGCCATTGACTAATTGCTCTAAAGTCAAATTAGTGCGTTTTGGAGTAATTTAAATGAATACACATTTACGCCCGTTGACGGTTTCTGGTTTGTTCCGTATTCTGAGTATTTATCTTAAATTACAATTTTATTATATCGTTCTAACTTAAAACCGATTTGCAAGTCAGTGAATGCAAAAAACTCCCAGCGCGTTACTGAAAGATTTACAAACATTTCGAACCATGCATGAAAAATTATATCAATAATGAATTTGAGTTTATTGTTGATGAAATTATTATTCGTTTTCTTTGTTATAAGTGATTGAATTAATTTTTATATGTATGTAAAGAGTTTTCTCCTCTAGCAACATCAAAATGCGAATTTTTTTCTTTCATTTCCCTCCCCGACGGACGACGAGTGGTTCGATCGTTTGGTCACGTCACCTTTTTATCCGTGTAATGTCTGATTTTTGCATCCCACATGCTTAGGGGTAACCGAATTAAGAAGAAATTAAAGAATCCCCGCACCAGAAGAAAAGTACGAGCAATAGCAGACGTAAATGTGAATTAGAAACTTAGAAAGTGTGAACATAGTCTCGAGGTGTACGGTCCGTCCGGTTCGATCTGGTTTTTAGCAGTTTGATCCGCGAGTCGGGCTCCCTTACCCCATATTCCTTTACTTAGAAGTTTATTTGTGTGTTATAAAGACTTTATTTTACATATTCTTAGTGTTTTGTGGTGAATTAGTTAATAAAACCGAAGCAAAATGTCTGAGGAGTCGTCAGCAGATCGCAATGTCGAGATTTGGAAGATCAAGAAACTCATCAAAAGCCTGGAAATGGCGAGAGGGTGAGTTTTTATCGTTCTTTAACTTATTGACGTGTTGTTTTGTGGAAAAAATCGATTGTGCGCCCAATAGCCCAAGACACGTTTTAGTCACAATGCCAACGAGGCTGCGTCAAATTTGGCTTGATACAGCTGTCATGCGTTGAATTCTGGTGCATGCGCTCATAACCTGTGTAGAAGCGATCATCTGGAAGGCCACTGCAGACCCGTCAAGGAGTTCGCTATAATTCTGTTTGCGCGCGTAGGTTATGCCACGCCAACTTGAATCGATATTTTGCAAACAAGGAAAATCAATAACTTTTACTTGGCTTTGTGTTTCAAACTCTGTAGAGGTGAAACTGCGCAAAATATGACGAGGCGAATTGAAAATGCGCGCTCGAGTAGCATCCGTGATTGTTGTTGTCCCTTTCCCACATAGCATGGCATTTTTGGGCATCTGTAACTAAATGAAATGTAGTCATTGACAAGTGCAATGAACTCTTACAAAGATGCTAAGATGTTTTTCAGGTGCTTCAGTCATCATTTTACCCATAAAATATTTTTATGTCTATCTGTTCTAATTAATTGCAAAGAAATTGTGAAATATTATGACATTAGAAAAGAAAGCTATTCACCAAATAATCAGCTGATCTACTAGCTAGTATTATTAGTAAAATGGCACATGAAACAAATAACAACAATAAAATTAATTAAGCTCCAAAGTAAACAACACTGGCTATCTCAAATACAATAAATAAACAGCATGGTATTAAAATATCATGGTAATTTTCTGTAGTCTGATGTCCCAGAGTGGTATTTGAACCTGTTTATATTTTGTTGATAATTCAGGTTCGCCATAATCATAAGTCTAGTTCATAACTCAATATGGGAGCAGCACGGGAGGGTAATATCGTAATGGTAAAATGTCAGCAAGACTTGAGATTTGTCATCGCTTGCCTTTCTAACTGACGTAACTGACATTTTGCAAAATTTTCAGGCGATTAGACAGATTGATTCGTCTTGCAAAATTGATTAAGATGGTGTAGATAACTCAGTTTCGAAAAAAATAACAGATACGTCAGTTAGAGAGGCCAGGCCTGTTCATCTCCGCGAGTTTACATCGAAAACAAAACACCCACGATGGCCCACCTACAGGATACTATTCGACAAGGCCTCACATACGAGCGAACATTGACCCACGCACACGTATTCTTGTGTATGATGGAAGAAAATAAAGAAAATGGTGTACTAAATACTGTGCAGTATTTAACTGCCTAAATAATAATAAAAACACAGAATGTACTTTTTTAAGTTGCCTCAAGACACTGAGAGGTAAATAAGTAGTTAATATTATTCATGATAATTCATGCTAAATCATGTATTTCCTCCGCCATTTTCCGCAGTTTGGCACCTCACGTCACATCATTTTACCGAAGTCAGCCCTATAGCTTCGGCGCAGTGCCGATCACTGACGTTTGTCAACAAAATGGTGCTTGACTCTTGCGACAGGCTAAATTACACCATATTGTTAATGACATTGAGCATACATTTTTTTAAATGCCTTCGCGAAGTAAAACTTCTGTACGTAGTACTTATTATTATTCTGTGGAGAGGCAAACGACGTTGTATGCCTGTGGGTCTAGACAAAGTGCAAATTATAATCGCAAACCAGTCGCAAAGTGGTCGAAAAGCCCCTTTTTTGTATGGAGTTTTGACGGATTCGATTTTCGATTCGATCAAAAAGTGCGTTTTGTCTAGGGGGGCTGGTCATGTCATTATGTCAATGTCACCCCTCCCGTGCTGCTCATATACCCCAGGCATGTACTGAGTTAAGTGCTAGACCTAATACTGCAATCTCTACAACGAACTTTGTGAACAATAACTGTTTCAAAGTCAAATTACTGATGTATCGTTTGAATCATACGTAAAATGATGTAGTACAATGAATCATGTTAGGAACTTTCATAAAGATATTTTTATGTGTTATGATTCACACAACACAATACATCTATACTAATATTATAAATGCGAAAGTAACTCTGTCTGTCTTGGCTTCACGCTTAAACCACTGAAACGATTTTGATGTCATTTTGCATAGAGATAGTTTGAGTCCTGGGAAAGGACATAGGATAGTTTTTATCCCGGTTTTTGAAAGAGGGACGCGCGCGATAGTTTTTCTGTGACAGACAAAATTCCACGCGTGTGAAGCCGAAAGCTAGTATAACATAAGGTGCATATTTCAAACTGAAGCTCTCAAGTCAATTTAATTTCAATTTCAATCATAGATAAAGGTTAGAAGATGGTTGAATTTCAATATTCATAGGCCAATCACAGGGCACAAAGGACTAATTTGTAAACTGAACCTTAATATGCTGACAATAGAACAGATAATTAATATTATATTAAAAATGTTTCCAGGAACGGCACATCCATGATATCGCTCATCATTCCGCCCAAGGACCAGATCTCCCGGGTCTCCAAGATGTTGGCCGATGAGTTCGGCACAGCGTCCAACATCAAGTCAAGAGTCAACCGTCTCTCGGTGCTCGGAGCCATCACTTCTGTGCAGCATCGACTGAAGTTGTACACTAAAGGTAGGACTTGATTTATTGTTCAGTTTTTAATCGTCAACTTTAATATCACTGCATTATAGTTCTTCCAACTACGAAGGCGAGTGAGCTTTACTTGTGTGTGTGCGTGTACATGCACAGAACGATAGTGTAATATCTATCAAAACTTCAAAAACGAACAGCAGCAAACCACCACACATGTAAAGCTCTCTCGCGTTCGTTCGTGAATTATTGCAAGAACTATACTCATTAGGGTCCTCGCCCACAGCACACGGGATTTTATTTAGTGATTCTGTCGCGCGATCGCATCGATACAGTCGCAATGCGGTCGCTAGCTTTGTGCCCTCGCCACGCGATACTGTTGCGATACAAACGCGATTCAGTATTGGCATAAAATTACCTGCGATCGCTAAAGTTGCCGCGCCACCCTCCCTCCGTTTTCTCCCCGTTGTCGTCCGACACGATCGCGCGTTTGCATAGATACAGTCGCGATGCTGTAGCGCAGTGGTTCCCAAACTTATTTAGTCTACTGCCCACTTTGAGAATAAATTATTTTTTAGCGCCCCCCATTTTTGTAGTCAAGAGTCGAGCTCAGTCGATGTCTAAGAGTCCTCCTAGTAGATGACGCCTCCCAAGCCTCTACACAACGTCCCGATTTTTTTTCTGGGTCTCTTACCGCCCCCCTTTAATCCTGCAGCGCCCACAAGGGGGCGTTATCGCCCACTTTGGGAAAGACTGCTGTAGCGCATTGCAAATGCGACTAACGCGCGTTAGTAGCGATGCTGTCGTTCATTTACGACACACGCGACAGTCAGCATCACTGCAAAAAGTCGCCATGGGCGAGGGGCCTAAGTGCCATGGGCCAGTGCTGAAGAAGTATCTAGTAGTGTAAAATAATGTGATTATACTTTTAGAATAGCTTCTTTTCTGTTTAATGTAGTCACAACATTTGCATCATACTTCAAGATGGATGATTGATATTCTGACAATGTTGACGCTTAGTGATAAAGATCAACCTTGACCATTGCACATAACTCAAATGTTATATTCCACTACCGTTGGCTTAGTTAGTATCCATTTAAAACACAATCTGCATGATTAAACTTTTATTTTACTTAGCACCTCGTTTCAGCCATAGGAAGTCCACAGTGCACGGTCCACTGCTGGACAAAGCCTGCCCCAAGGATTTCCACAACGAACGGTCCTGCACCTCCCGCGACCTTCACCAGATCGTCGGTCCACCTAGTACTTATTCACCAATTTCTGAGTTTTCTGACAGATTAAGCTATCAGGGACTAATTCAACAAGCGTTGGAATGGGCCCTTATAATTAGACATTTTTGAGTTAACATTAATCAAAATCCGTCCATTAGTTTTAACATGAAGGAGTAACAAACACATTCGTCCATCCTCATAAACGTAAGCGTTAATTTATAATATTAATGTAAATTGCAGTTTGTTAGGAATTCCGTGATGTTATATGCCATAGTTATTTTATACAGAGAAGGGTAGGAAGTGGGTTCCCGTCTATCAAACGGCACTACCAAATTGGCCGCTGCCGCCCGCCGTGCCGTGCGTTTCCACCTACATTACTATGTATTAACATTAAATAAATTGTCCCAACGAGCATACCTATTACATATCCCCAAAGTGGATATAATATCGCACGTTCATAATCAAACTGTCACTATACAAAAAAGTCGATTTTTCAGGAAAAGCATTTGAAATGCTCAAATTTTAAAACCTTTGCAAAATGAGCAAAATGCTATTAAATGTTTTGTTTTTTGTTAAAGACCAGTAGTGGCTTATTTGGCTTTTACGGAAATATAATTATCTTTCAAATTATCATAATGGTTTATTTAATATTTCATTTTTTCTCTAAAAATAGTGTCACTTTTCCACTAAAATTGAGACAGTGACAGTTTTCAATTAAAAACGTGTTAATGTTGTATTATTAATTCCGGTAGAAATGTCACTATTTTCATATAAATTTGACGATGAAAAATTAAAAATTGATTATTATTAAATAAAACTAACATAGAAAAATCAGTAATTTTAATGAACTTAAAACTTAATAATTTGGATTAAGTGGTACCAATGGTAATATAATAAATGTAAATTCTCGATCAGAAATAAATACGTTACACACATGAAATTACTATAAAATTACATCACATAAATCAACTTCTTAGAGAAAATAAGGTGCTCTCTTGTTCAGGCAGCCTTTAAACAACCAGACCTTGATGACCTCGATGAACTTGACGAACTAGATAGTGATTTTTCATGGGAAAAAGGCTCAGAGAAGTAGGTTTAAATTCTGGATCATTATCCAGCGGCCATTACCTCTGCGAACTATGTGCCCCGCCCACTGCCACTTGATTTTAGCGATTCTGCGGGCTATGTCGGTCACTTTGGTTCTCCTGTGGATCTCCTCATTTCTGATTCAATCACGTAGGGAAACTAACTAAGCATCGCACCATCACCTTTTGGGTGACCTCTCAGATTCCTAAAATATCACTGGCAACACACACTGATCAAACTTTTGTCTTGAGGCACTGCGGTATTTCGGACGTTAGAATATCACGAAGCTTCCCGAACGCTGCCCAGCCGAGTTGGATTGACGATTGACCTCTTTCTCGAAGTTGGACCTGCGTAACTGGACTGTTTGTCCCAGGTCAGTAAACTTTCGAGTGTAGTCTCCAGATAAGTGGATACTACATGGACATTTGACATGTTTTTTGTCTTGTCCATATTCATTTTCATACTCATTCATCAGGCCCACTTGTTGAGAGGCTATACTTAGGCCATCGAGCATTATGCCTAGATCTTCCACAGTCTCAGCCATGATTACGACATCGTCCGCAAATCGAAGGTGGATTATGTACTCGTTGATATTTATGCTGAATCCGCTCCAGTTCAGAAGCTTGAAAACATCTTCCAGGGCGGTGTTGAACAGTATCGGAGATAATATGACATCTCCCTGTCTCACCCCTTGCTGCAACTGGATGTGTTTCGAGTCCTGATCCTGGAGACGAACCGACATTGTGGCGTTTTCGTACAAGCCTTTCAACACTTCGATGTATCTATAGTCAATTTGGCACCGTTGGAGAGACTATAGCACTGCTCAGATCTCGATCGAATCCAAGGCTTTTTCATAGTCCACAAACGCTAGACAAAGTATTAATTACCTTGATAATTTCTTTGATTTTACTAGTGTTTGGATTGACTGGTGGCATTTTTGTTAGATAAAATTATAACTACTTAGTCATTTAAACATATTTCTTGTTGTTTTAATATTTCAATATTTAGATAAACACAATATTCTACGAAGTGATGAACAATCTTTTTAAAAATGTAAGAGAAATATTGTCACTTTTTGTTTTAAGGCGTTTTTCGTATTACTTTATTGTGACTTATCTTATGGTTTTGGAGTAAAAGCATCTTTATGCTAAAAATGACGTTTTTCAACACAGAGTTTACATAACTATCACGGCGTGCCCGTCCAGATCCTGTCACTACTAAAAACGTGTCACTGTTACTCACAACAAATGCCGGTTTTCCCATTAAACGTCATAACGACACTAGTGATATCTGCCGAACTATTTGAGCTTTAAGCGTGGGATTTTTACAGCATGCACTTTTCGCGGAGCTCTGATAGATGGCGATGTTAACTCAATTTCTCCCAATTTCGTATAGTGACGGTTTGATTATGAACGTGCGATATGCCTAGAAGGTAATGGATAAACACACTTATATTGACGCATAAAACGAAAAAATGAACGATACAACATTAAATGTTTCGCTTTTAGATCAATACGAATACGATAAATAAAAATAAATAAATCAATACATTTGAATACGAATACATTTGAATGTGATTTTTTTTCTTTACATGCACAGCTTTTGCGTCAGGCACGGTTGACACAAAAGGTAGGCAGGCTCTTAAACGTTGCATGAAAAATGTCAAATACTTGTCAATACTGGATTATTAGTTCCGTTTTTTGTCACGTTGGACAACCATATAAGTATGACATTTATAGCAGGACGCCACCGTCAATATTGGATAATTATAGTTCTGATTTTTGCCACTACGTTTCAGAATCTTTTGACTATAATGTCAAATCTTGCAGAATCTGTATCTATGTACCATATTTCTTCATACATGCTGATTCATCACTTTATACAAAGTCAAAGGTTTTATTCAGTCGCCCTTTCCAGGGCGCTTATACGCGTCCCAAATAGCACTTCGGGACAACATATGGGCTGGTTCTGAGAAGAAGTGGCGGAATAAAATTTTGTCAGATTTTTTCAATCGAATTACTTACATTAAGCAAGATACATCATAAGTAAATCAGTAGATGGTTTATTCCACTTTGTTCACCTGGGTGAATAAAGTACATTTTTTAGTGTGCACATTTCATTTCAGAACCATTTCACCCAGGGGAATTGATGCGACTTTTTTCATTGATCATGTGGACTTATATCACCTTATAACTGTTGTAATATTCAACTATTGCTGTGCCTTCAGTTGTTCTATATTTTCTATGACCTCTAACCTCTCTCTCTTCCACAGTTCCCCCAAACGGCCTGGTAATCTACTGCGGTACCATCGTGACCGAAGAAGGCAAGGAAAAGAAGGTCAACATTGACTTCGAACCATTCAAGCCGATCAACACCTCACTATACCTCTGCGATAACAAGTTCCACACTGAAGCGCTGACCGCACTGTTGGCCGATGACAACAAGTTTGGATTCATCGTTATGGATGGTAACGGAGCACTGTTTGGTACGCTGCAGGGTAATACCAGAGAGGTGAGTCTTTGATGCCATTTTAAAGAATGAAGCATACTTGTCAACCCGGAAACGGATCGTAATTTAACAACTCGAGGCGGTTAGTATTCTTTGTATGAAACTCCGTACTGCAACCCGCACTTATTCGCACCTTAACGTATACGTCTCGCCTCGCGACGCAAGGCGATACGGTGTTGATCCGTTTCCGGGTTAATAAGTGTGCTATTACCTTAATTTCTATCAATATTTTTTTTTCGTTCTACTTCTGACTAATTTCGTAATTGTAACTGAGCCTCAAAAGAGTAGCGAAGACAGTGGCGCCAATTGGTGAGCGCTGAAGCGGTAGGCCCATTTTTTTTAAAGATTATTAGCAATTTGTATTGCCCAAATTACTAATAGTCCCATTAGCCCAGGGTGACTTAGAATTAGAGCATAATCTTAAAAGGGTTATAGTACAGGTTATTTGCAACATTTTTGTATATGGACACTCATAATATGCAAAAGTGAACCATTATTGAAAAATTGAGATTGAATTTACTTTAGGACGTTTTTTAATACAGTCCATAATATCCCCTATTTTAAAGTGCTAAAGCTCATATTCCTCCTTCCAGGTCCTCCACAAGTTCACCGTAGATCTGCCGAAGAAGCACGGCCGTGGTGGTCAATCAGCTCTACGTTTCGCGCGTCTCCGAATGGAGAAGCGTCACAACTACGTGCGGAAGGTGGCCGAGGTGGCCACGCAGCTGTTCATCAGCGCCGACCGGCCCAATGTGGCTGGACTGATCCTGGCTGGTTCGGCCGATTTCAAGACCGAGCTGTCGCAGTCCGATATGTTTGATCCGGTGAGTGGAAGAAGCTTTTGACATCTTGTAGCGACGTGATGACGTCATTTCGAAGCGCGAGGAAGAAATGCAGCGACTAATGACTCACATCAATGACAAATTCAATATTATCAATCATCAGCGAAATGTCACTGTTCTTCTTCTTCTTTTTTTATTTTGGCAATGGCTTGGTTTTGAAAACCATGATTTTGCCAATGTCACGTAAACAGCTTTGTCAAAGTTTGTGGTACCCAGCCAACTGTCATTTTTTCTATGGCTTGTAGCCAAATGTCACTATCTATATGGCTTGGGGTCAAATGTCACTACTTAATGGCTGTAACCCTTATGTCACTTTTTCTATGGTCTGGAGTTAAAAGTCACTTGGTCTGGCTAATTTTCAAAATGTCTATGGATTCTAACTAACTGTCATTTTGTCTCTAGCTTGTAGCCAAATGTCATTGCAAATCAATCTTTGGCAAATGATATCACTTTGTCTATAGCTATGATCCAATGTTTGGCCTCTGAACTAGATCGTCGCGCTATCTCAATTCACAACCTGAGTGTAGTAAAAAGGGACCAGGAAAAACTGGCATTTGACTTACTTCACTTAAGGTCCTATGTCCCCTAGATGGGGCAGAGCCGCAGAGGGCGTCCACAACAGTCCTCCATCTCTTTCGGTCAAAACAAAAAACTGGCATTTACACATTATTATTTTTTTCCAGAGGTTGCAAGCCAAGATCATCAAGCTGGTGGACGTATCCTACGGAGGCGAGAACGGCTTCAACCAAGCCATCGAGCTCGCGGCCGAGTCGCTGCAAAACGTCAAGTTCATACAGGAGAAGAAGCTCATTGGCAGATACTTCGATGAGATCTCACAGGTGTGTGCCTTATTCCCGTAGCATAAGGTAGCTTTTTGTAGGTAAATGACTGTACACGGTCGGAAGGGAAGATGGTTTCCTAAGTCAATACAATTTCAATCTTATCCCGGCTACGTAAATTGGCTTTTGGAATATAAGTCGCTGCAGAACGTCAAGTTTATTCAGGAGAAGAAACTCATCGGCAGATACTTCGATGAGATCTCACAGGTCAGTGCAATTTGAACCTCATTCGGATGGAATGAGGTAACTTTTAGATTGCAAGCCAAGATCAAACTGGTGGGCGTGATTTAGATGTCATTTCCCAGGTCAGTGCATTTCAAACTTATTCCTAGTACATAAAGTAGGTTTTAGACTGTTTGCAAGCCAAGATCAAACTGGTGGGCGTGGCTTAGATGACATTTCACAGGTCAGTGCAATTTCTACCTTATTCCGTGTACTTAAAGTGGCTATTCGAATAGCAAGCCAAGATCAACAAACTGGTGGGTGTGGCTTAGATAAGACTTCACAGGTCAGTGCAATTTCAACTCTATTCCGGCTACGTAGTGGCTTTTCGACTGCTAGTAGGTGAATGACTGTATTCGGTCGAAAGAAGAAAAGATGAAACTCATTGGCAGATACTTTAATGAGATTTCACAGGTGTGTGCTAATTTCAACCGTATCTCAGTCGCAATAAGGTCCTTTATTGTCGATCCCGTTAACTGTTTTTGTTAATACTAGCGGCCGCCCGCGACTTCGTACGCGTGAATCCCGTTTTACCCCCTTAGGGGCCCGTTCCCGTCGGAATTTCGGGAATTCCTTTCTTAGTGCACCTCTACGGTACCTATGCTACGTCCCTTCCAAATTTCAAGTGCCTACGTTTCGCCGTTTAGCCTGTGCGTTCATATGTCAGTCAGTCAGTTTCTCCTTTTCAACCGACTTCAAAAAAGGAGGAGGTTCTCAATTCGACCCGTATGTTTTTTTTTTTCTATGTTTATTACGCGATAACTCCGCCAATTATGAACCGATTTGAACAAATTTTTTTTCGGCGTATAGGTAATACCTCAAGGGTGGTCCCATTTAAATTTAATAATAAAAAAAACAACCCCCAAGGGTGGAAAATTGGGGATGAACTTTTTTATACGCAATATCTCCGCCGATTATAAACCAATTTGAACGATTATTTNAAAATATTTCACCCCCAAGGGTGGAAAATTGGGGATGAACTTTTTTATACGCAATATCTCCGCCGATTATGAACCAATTTTTTTTGGTCTCAGTGTACTGCCTACCTTCAGTGGTAACATCAAGGTAATAATTAGTTAACTAAAAAGCAAGAATAAGTAAAATTTTATAAAAAAAAATAAAACCGACTCCAAAAAACCTACACTAAAACAGTTTTAGTGTAGGTTTTTTGGAGTCGGTTTTATTTTTTTTTATAAAATTTTACTTATATATATTTATAGATTAGATAATAAATGTTTTGTCTCCAGGATACGGGCAAGTACTGCTTCGGAGTCGACGATACACTGCGAGCGTTGGAACTGGGCGCCGTTGAGACGCTCATCTGCTGGGAGAACCTCGATATTCAGAGGTGAGGACTCAACCTTATGTAACTGTAATAAATGCTATTTGCAAAAGAGTTCCCGTTCCAATCTAGTTTTGTGGGATTTCGCAAAAATGGACTGTTGTGTGAACCATAAAGTTAATATACCTAGCGGAATAGAGTAACAAAGAACTGAGCGAGCGAGATGTCACTATAAGCAACACTGTGTGATAAAAAGAGATGCGTGATGCCGTCGCCGTCACGTCAAACAGAACCGTTTTTTGCAACTATTTGACAGTTCAGAGGCACTTAGTGCCATGCTGAAAATTTAAAGTTTGAGACACTTTCACATTTTACGTGAGTAAAATCTTGGATATTTATGAGAAATAGTGCATCAGAAACGTGCTGACTGGTTCAGTGATTGATTTATTGTACAAAACAGAGAAATAATGCTGACACTGACACACAAATAATATCCAGTGTCATCCAAAATTGGTTTCATTTGACAGTTCGTGGTTGTTGCTCTATTCCAAAGGAATATTAACTTTATGGTGAGAACACACATATCGCGGGTCTAATCACGAAAAGACGTACTGATATTTATCAATTTTAAAGGAGCGACAAATGTTGCTCCGTACTTCATAAATATGTAATATGGAAAAACGTATTTCGGGCCCTTTTTAACTGTCAATACTGGCTTCCAGACAGAAATTCAGTTACGATCTATTGTTTGCGAGGTTATAAAAGCACTTTTTTTAATAACATGGGTGTGTTTAACTCGACATCACCATTTGTTAAGCGCTTGTAGGCTTTATTGTCCATAAAATAAGGTATATTATTGTACACTTTCAGATACGTACTAAAGTCGCACGCCACCAACCAGGAGACCATCCTGCATCTCACCCCCGAGCAGGAGAAAGACAAGTCACACTTCACCGACAAAGAGGTAAGAATTGACTATTACTTACTGCATAAAGTACACAATGTAGTAGGTATATGACGCCACCAATCGTTGACTTACCTTTTATGAATTGTCAAAATGACACTCCCATAGAATTTGTAGGTTCGACGACGTCACTATTTTTTTGCCAACTGAATTGATTTAACTTTTTATCAGTTACATAACAACCAAAAATCTAATATTAGTGAATAGTGTTAAATATCCAACTGGGTATTTGACATGACGCGCCCTGAAAAGCGACTTACTTTGACTTTGTTTTAAATACATATTAGAGTAAGTAATAGCTACCATTTTCATATACTTTTTGAACTGTCAAAATTAATTAGTCATAAATTTTGTGTGGCAACAGGGACTTATGATGTTATCAGTGCGATTTTATACTTAACAGTTGGTACCACTGGCTAGTGACAATTTTAAAGTGGCGCCAACTGGTGAACACTAAAATAGTAGCCCTCATTGACTGAATTATAGTGATTTCCAGGCTACTAAAAATCATATTTTACAGCGAATTGAAAAGTAACTCTTTATTAAAATTTCTTAGCGATTAGAGTCGCTTCTCAAACAACGCAACTGCAAGCTGTTGCGGTACGCTGGTATTACACTTGAAAATTTCGACGGGTTCATCCAGTGTCTAAGTAGCTCAGATGGAAGAGAGCCCGGCAAGCGAAAGGTCGTGGGTTCGATTCCCGTTTTAGGCAGTTAGATTTTTTAAAATAAGCTATTATTAATCTGTGCTCCTGAGATACGCAGCATATCACACCACTATTCAACCACCTTGTCTTAAATGGGTCCATATTCGGTTGCATAAAAAATATTGTCATAATTTAAGAGTGCATAAAGTTTTTTGGCATACTCATCATTTCGCATAACGTTCATACAGAATAAATCATAAGGCATATTTTTTTTGCCATAACCACTTTTATTATAATAATATTTTAGTATATATTTTTTCTGTATTCTTGTTTTTTTAATAACGATTTCTAGGCATAACATTTATTGGCATCTAAACCAATGCCATAAATATTACCATTCATAATAATATACAAAATACCATAATTTTAACAAATATTAAATATGAAAATGTTATACATATAAAATATAAGTTAACAAATATAAATAGACAAGCAAGCATGCAAAAAAGCATGCAAGCAAGCAGCAAGCATGCAATCAAACAGCAAGCATGCAAGCAAGCTGCTAGGAAGCATGTAAGCATGCATGCAAGCAAGGATGCAAACAAGCAAGCCTGCCAGCAAGCAGCAAGCAAGCAGCAAGCAAGCAGCAAGAAAGCAGCAAGCAAGCATGCAAGCAAGCAGCAAGGAAGCATGCATGCAAGCAAGCAAGCAAGCAAGCATGCAAGCAAGCAAGCATGCAAGGAAGCATGCATGCAAGCAAGCATTAGGATTGCCTTATCTCCGGCGCTGCGGGAAGTGCGGTCCTTCCGCTCTGGCGTAACATATACCCGGCATGCCATGCTGCCGGATATATGTTACAGCGAGCGAGGACCGCACTCCCTCCGCGCCTCCGGCTTTTAAATTACACTCTAGTATAGGGCAGACTAGTACCACGTGGAAGAGACCACGGCCAGTCGGGATCAACATAATTTCAGACCAGGCAAGCTTAATGTTGTAAAAGAAATGTGGACTGTATAATATGTCCGTTATAATAGATAAGAGGGATTCGAGATCAAACAGAATGTATTTTCACGAGCTTAAGTTTTCTAAGAGACAAG